CGGTGCTGCGTAAGCATACTTGCCAGCAGGCAGCTGCATGTTGTAAAATGCAGTCAGTAGGTCTCGCGTTTCTCGCTCACTAAAGGTAATGCTAGCTTGTAAATAATTTAAATAAGCACAGACAAAGTTGATTATGTTGTCCAAGTCCAAATGATCCTCACGTCCGTGCAGCTTGTACTTACCGCTAGGACGAATTGTTACAGCGTAAAAACAAGTGCAAACTCCGAGCGTGGTAACACACAAATTCAAAAAAATATATTTTTTTTCTCGTTTAAACCAAAAATTAATTTGATAAAACTTTCTAAGTGAGTAGCCAATGAAGGTTGCTACTAAACCTGCTATTGAGCATATTTTTAGTAGGACTGCCTCAATGTTGAATTCACAGACAAACATGTGCAAAAATGAACATTTTTGTAACTTTGTCGCCACCTGTAAACCTTGTTTAGTGCTGTATACGCCTGAAATTATTTTGGTCTACAGTAAAACATTCTGGCATTATGCTAATGTCAACTATCAAATTTTCCGTAATGTTGTATTTCTATCAAAAAATCGCCAATATGGACTATATTCTCCACATTCGAGGCCACATAAAAAAATCACGAAAGTGTAAAAGCTCGTAAAACTCATTTTAAGTAAAAGGACTACATAAAGCTATGGTTTCGAGCTTTCCAGAAAAAAAAATCACATGAGGCTTGCGGTAGAGGAAAATTTTTTTCGTAAAAAATGCTTTGGAGTAACACTTTTGGCTTTACGTAGATATTTCTGATTTTTTTAATGAAATCGCAGATGGTCCAGAGCCAAGGTTGGGACAGTTGGCGTGGAATGACCCTTATAAGACCACGACCTTATAAAGTAAGCGCTTTAGGAAATTGGTTGCGTAATGTGCGCGAGTGTATTTTTAGCCTATGCTTGTTTTCTGCTGAAATCGTAGAGCTACCTGTTCTCCAATTAAGATGCTGTTCCCGAAAATGTTCCATTTCGCACATGTGCATATACACGGGCACAAACGCATGCGCGATTATGGGTGTACCTCCCGGAAAAAATGTCTCGTTACGAGCATGTCACTTACGTGCGTTTCTTCCACGTGAACTGTGGTAGTGAGACCTGAAATTAATATTACGGACAAACGTACAGTGTTTATGCCTGCGTTTGTTCTGTGTTGTCTAAAGACCGTGTTGTGCTCATTCATTAAACGCGGCGCGCTAGCTGTCATGTTCATCAGCTGGCAATAAGTTTAAGAGGAACTGCAAGAAGCATTCGTTCCCGCTTTTGGAGTGTTAAAATCGAAGGCGCGTCGCTAATTGGTTCCTTTCCGACATAGCGCAGCGCAACTTAATTATGTTGGCCGGAACCGGCTTGTTTCCGAGTGATGCACTTATCACCATTCCACTCAATCACCCATTGCTTTATTTTTTTTTCGGAAAGCTAGAGTGGTCATTTCAGAATTAATTTACTTTGAATATATAGTTATAGGCTTCTTAAATGCGCTAATACTTTCACTATAGGGTCGTACGGCTGACATTATTTGAGCTGCGGGCTGGGGTTCATTCGCCCTGTACTGCGTGTGTATATCTGCTTCGAACATCAAACACTGCCAACAGGAACAAGCGAGTGTTCGGGAGCACACTGCAATCCATAAGAAACCTAATAACATAGATCGGCGAACTAAAAGAAAGGTGCACTGCATACGTTACAAGCGAATTCAAACTACCATCTGACTTATCTCAAGACGCAAGCCTGACCCAGGCATAGCTCCGCTCTGTAATCAAGTGCACGGCATACGTATTCAACTGTCGACGGGACGATGTACTCAATGGGATACAATCGGCTACACGAGTAACAGTGCAGAGTTTCCCCGAAAACGGTGACGGCCTTACCTGTATAGCAGTGCAACCAAGCAGCGCTTGCGGGTGCTTGCATCTGGCCCGCTAAACATGAGCAGTTGCCTTGTTCAACTTCGGACTCCCTGAACGGATGTTTGCACGCGCAGAGCAACTAGTTCCGCTGTTCAGCCAGTGAAATACTTTATGCCGATGAGAAGTGGATGGTCAGTAGCGAGCACACCTTCGCCTTCGATCAAACAACACGTTCCGGTGCCACAATTAAGAGAACTTCAGCCCAGCGCCAAGCGAAAGTGCCGCGGAAAGCGGAAGTGCCATTTTTGCATGCACCTTTGTTTTTGTTTTTTGGCCAATGTTGCCAGCACACAACTTTCGCGGTTCAAGGGGAAAATTTAGAAATGGATGAATGAATGGGTAAAAAAATAGATTAATGTGGCTGTACCCCTTAGATTGGGCGGTGGCTAACGCCACCTAGCCGTAATACTTAGTGCACCAACAACTAGATTTATCTTTTTTTTTTACTTTAAATAGTGAAGTTGAGAACTGGTGCTTTGCAGTGAAGGTTTTAATTTTCACTCGTGCCTTGACTTTAGCCACCAATCAAATAACCTCCTTGTAGTTAATTCTACCCGCTTAAAGTCTATTTTGCCCTCCCTGTCCCTAAAACCCAGAGCTTCGAAAAACTCCGCGCCATCATCCTGGACTATAGGGTGAAGCCCTTAACAGAACATTATCAAGTGTTCGGCAGTTTCCTCCTTTTCTCCGCATGCACTGCATACCGTGTATTTGCACTGCATACCGTGCATACTTCGTGTATGCATGCACTGCATACCGTGCATACTTCGTATTTGGCCCGATATGTCTTGGTTCGCAATACTCCCGTCCTGGCCTCAAACAGTAGAGAACTATCCCGAGTATTATCATAAATCATTTCCTTGGCAATTTCCTGCTTAAAAGTTTGATAGATCTCTAGTGGGGACGTCTTAATATCATGCCAATTCTCCGCATGTCAGTCTCCGTTTCCTTCGCCTTCTTCTTAACCGATAGTTCTTTTTGGACTTTAGCGTAACCGAGCCCCACCGGCGACTAGACGCGGGATCGAATCCAGGCTATGGCTAGAGAGTACTAGTACTATGGCAGTCAAAATGCTTGGGGCTCGTCCGGGCTCGTGTACTTGGATTTAGGTGCACGTTCAAGAACGCCAAGGCCCGTACTCACAAACCATTCTAATTCTTTGCTGGCGTTTTCCTCATTGGCTTTAAACCTTTGTTTCGCATGATGAACAAGGTAGACCAGTATTCATGAACCAGTCTTGCCCTAATATTTCACGCTGTATATCTCGATTTCCCTGTATGTATCCTCAAAGTGAAAGGGTTTATTTTTTAAAGCCATTATAGCCTTTTAATAAAAAGGTCGACTTCGTTTTCGCAGCGAACTCTACATTGAGGTGTAAATATACCTTGCCGTTGATAGTTACTTTGGAAAGCGTATACTTAAATAGAACTGAAATGTTAAGAGTTGCCACATTTTTATGTTCACTTCAGAGGCTCCGGAAGTAGATGTGAAGAGTTGGGGCGAGGTTTGCGGGCAGATATATATATATATATATATATATATATATATATATATATATATATATATATATATATATATATATATATCTTTTCGATAAAGCGAGAAAAGTATGAGGAGGGGGTCGTAAGAGCTGTTAGTGGGGGGTATGCCCCCACCCCGGTTTCTAACCTTTGGAAGCGACGGCCCCCACTGCCCTCCCCTGTTCACTTAGGTTCACATAAGAAATGGTATACCCACTTTTAGTGAGACGGTGAGAGCACTCCCCAGCAATTTTTCTGGTTTACCGAATATTAAATTCGTTTAAAGGTACAATTCGTTACTGGTACAATATGAATGGCTCCAATTTATTAGGATCGATATATGACATTCCAACATAAGGTATTAACTTCCCGATAATTAATGAGTATTAATTGAATGAGCTTATTGCAAGAGCAAACGATTTTCTTGTCTGCAGCAAATACACAGTTTATCCAAAATTTGTAAGTATGCTGGAGCCGATTTCTTAATTCTGTGAAGCTGAAACTACTTATTCGAAGGTTGCAGCCCTTGCATAAGACAATTCCGGATGTCAAAACGTCAGCCCTAGCCCCCAGCTCTCTGTGTCCCGAGTTAGCATGTTCCCCTGATTCCTGCATTCGGGGGAGAGGGCTAGGGGTCACCCACCGAAATTTGGATGAAGCGAGGTGTTTTGCAAAGAATGAATGATGAAGATAGGAGTTTTTCAAAATCTTCAAAAGTGCCCCCCATCCAGGAAAAATATTCCTAGCTACGGGCCTGTTCGCGATGCTTGCTACTTTTTCTCTTCTTTCTTAGCGCCCATGTTAAGCTGCCATGGGACACTATGCGCAGGGTCTCCATCGCAGAGAGCGGCTTTGCATGACGTCACACCAGCTGTGCTCTTTATTTATTTATTTTTATTCATGATACCTTACAGGGCCCGATAGGGCATTGAGTAACGGGAGCAAGTACGAAACATGGCTTCAAACTGACAGTTTCCATTGAAGGGCGCCTGCTGTGCTCGGCGAAGGGGGGAAAGGGCTATTTGGATATCTGATACTTGGGGCCGGTCATCCCAACAGAGCTCAAATTGTGCGAGTCCGAATAAAGAAAAAAAAAAACAGGTGAGACACACATTGCTTAGAATAACATAGCCCAGCTAGTTGGTAGGAACAGGCATGTGCAGTGTTTCCCTCCCAGGAGTGGGTGGGGGTGGGGGGGGGGGGAGGTTCGTGGCGGCGCCCTACTCTCTATTGTGTCAATGTATGGGGCTGACTATGCGCCCCCCTCCCACCCCCGTGTGCACGCCCATGTTGGTAGGTGTTCATGTTGAAAGGTTGCACGTGCAAACAGGCACACAAGAAAGAAGTCAAGATGTTCATGTTGCCTTGACTTTTCTCTCGTGTGCTTGTTAGTGAGCCCGTCTTTTAACATGGACAGCCTCATAAAAGGCAAGGCACACAAACACGAACACAAGAGAATTGAAGAGTAATTGCTGTTCATGAATCCTTACAGCTTCGTCATTGCCAAACGAACTTTCACCAAACGAGAAAAGTTCGAAAGAATGAAAAGTACGAACACCACCAGTCGGGTGGGTATCTCTTGATTGTTTTATTACATTGGTCATCAATAAAGTGCTGCTAAACCACACTAAAACCAGAAAACACACAACAATCAACGAACAATTCCCTAGAGAATTTCAACTTGAAATGGCTGCCCAGAAGGCAGGGCAGACCACAAAACAAGAAACAGGCAGGTTAATAAAATAAAAATTAAAAAAAAAAACGGGCACAGCGACATGAAAGTTCGGTGCACTCAATGTACTTGAACTGTCTCAAAAATCTAACTTCTCAATCTTAAGGCATGAATAAAAGTTGGTGCTAGTCCTTTACAGCAGCACACTGTAACCAATTTTAGCTACCTTAGCTAGGTTTTTAATTAATCATAATGAATGATTGTGCTAATGGCAACACATAGTGCTGCATGTATATATCAAGGTTTTGACCAGCTCCCCAGCTACTGATTCACTTCAAGTAACATGGGTGCCAGAATAATCTTACACTGTGAATCCATTTTTAAACTTATGAAAGGACAAAACAAACAGCATCACTTGCATGAAATATGCTTGTACCTCACAATAAATCTGTATTTCATAAATATGATGTGACAAGATACTTAAACATATCCATCAAAATTTGTCTGCTATTGCATGAATGCATTGCAACAAGACAAATGATAAGAATGAGGATTCTCCTTCATAAGAGTCAATAGAAAAAGTTTCTGACACGAACTTCAAATTCCTGCGTTCACATTACCAGAAAAACAGAGGCAGCAAACTTAGCCAATGCTGCATATTAAAAAGATATCAACTGAAAGACATCACTTATTAAACAAAGTACACCTGTGCCTCAATTTAATTCAGTCGTGTTTCCAACTGAAAACATTGTAATAAAATATTTCATTACATGAACGTTTCTGCAATTCAATACCTATAATATCGCCAAAAATTTTTCAATAACTTCTTGCGGCCGAAACTTTGCCACTAAAAATTCAATAATCAAAACCATAAAGAGAAATATGGCAATAATGCAAGGCTATGCAAATGAAAGAAAAATTTGAGATAAGTTGTGAATTTCGTTAAGTTTAGGCATTTAGTGCTCAACACAACAGAAGAACAGTTTGGAATACAATGACTGCTGCTATTGCATGTTGCATTTTATCGTATTTCACCTTGGCCAGGTCTTGTGTTCTAGACTACTGGTATGAAACACCAGCATGTGCAAACTTGCATTATCTCGTCAATTGAGGTTAGTTATGATGAAATTCAACAGCGTAATGCTAAGACGACAAATAAACGTCGTAGATCTTGTGAGAAAAGCAGACAACAATGTTTCGCGTGCATCCAAATCTGTGCACACAGACATCGCAATCGACACATTCAGCACAGGTAAAAGACATGCGCACAGAAAGAATGCAAGGCTTTCAGCTTGGCCGGAAATGGTTGCCTCAGCAAGATGACGACTAGTGGCGAGTTGTTCCAAAGCAGCACCTAGCACCATTCACATACAGCTACAAAAATCGGCCCTCACAAATAAGCCACTGTACAGTCGTAATTTTCCATACACAATACAGGCAGCAGCGACACTTCGCAGAAGCTACGCATTGGCAGAGAGTGAGAGTTTTTTAAACCCTTATATTTTGCAGAAAGCCTGCTTGCATTGAGGCAAAGACCCGGAAGAGATGTTGGAAGTTTCTGGAGTTGGCAGCTTGTTGGCTCGTAATGTGTCGGTTGCATCCAGAATGTTACGCATACATCGTGTTCTCCAGCCACTGTGAAAGGGCATTGGTTATAGCATTATGTATTAAAGATGAACAATGCTAAAACAGTATTCACATAAACGTTACTGGATGAGATAAAGGAAAAAAAGGAGAATTCGATGTGCATGTAATGTAAGATGCTGAATGAACAAAGAAAACAATGAACTGTTTTATCTTGCTTATTTGTGATTGCACAGGCACATTTTATGAATAAAATTTTTCAGGAATTAAATCATCCCAATTTACACAAAGGACACCTGAATATGCTAATGCCATCAGTATGCAATAAGGTACCCTGCCTGGAAACACATCTAAAATGAACAGAAAAGAAAGTATGCATCATGTTCATTTGGCTTGCAAGACTGTGTGGTAGTGACTTACATACCACTGCCATCATATCTTGCAGAAAAAATTCCCCGAATTGAACTAAGCTTTTATCATGAACAAAAAGTACTAGTATTAGGTGCTTTTAAATGTGACTAGTAGCTGATATGAAACCCCAATACCTAAGGTAAACATCTTAACATTTCCTGCCATGTTATGGCTTTATTTGCTTGTTTAAGCTGATAAAATCATTTTCACAACAAGAATAACAAAATGTTTACTTTATCTGCTTACAAATGAGGATGCTCTCTTCAGAATATTTAAGTTCTCATGGTTAACAAATCAGCTCGTAATAATGATAAATCAATAAAGAAGTTACACTTTGCAGCTGTCCCCAGTACACGCAAACTTAATATAATAATGTGCACTCATTTTAATAGCTTGCTTTTGAAGATTATGTAAAGAAGAGGAAGTACTCCGGCGCAGTGGCAGCAGCATCGAGTGGGCAGCAGCGGCTCGAGCTCGGGAATTGCGGCTGGTGCATCGCCTTCCAAGCCTTCCAAGCATCAACCTTTCTGCTTAATAAATCTCCTTTATAATTGGTGGAGCCGTGCCGGGTACCGTCCCTTACACCTTCCCGCTACCATCCTGGAACTCCGTTCTCGACGGCTACCTTCTGCTATGCCGGACGCCGATGAGCAGATGCTTCCATCTCTTCCGGCCACTTGTCCAGGCAGTGTTCCTCAGCGGGAGCCTCCAATCTTAAGTGGAACAGATGACAACGACGTTGAAGATTGGCTCTCGACTTTCGAACGGGTGAGCGCTTTAAACAGATGGACGGACGCGGACAAGTTGACACGCGTGTCGTTCTACCTCGCGGGTGTAGCCAGCCTTTGGCTTAGAAACTACGAGGCAGACGTCCGAACGTGGCCGCAATTTAAAACGTCGATTGTATCAGTCTTCGATCAACCTGCCGTCCGAAAACTTCGAGCCGAGCAACGTTTACGCACACGCGCACAAGAAACGGGTGAAACCTTCACAAGTTACATAGAAGACGTCGACGATTTGTGCAGACGCGTGAACGCCGAAATGACTGAAGCTGAAAAATGTAAGCACATCCTCAAAGGGATTGACGACGACGCTTTTCAAATGCTCTTGGCGAAAAGCCCGACCACTGTTAACGACGTAATTAGCCTCTGCCAAAGCTACGATGAATTGCGGAAGCAGCGAGCTCTGACAAGACGTCCTTCAGCGCACGATTTGGCATCGCTGTCTAGTGTGATCAGTGGTCATGACCAAGCGTCACTAATAGCCGAAGTAAAAGCATTTGTCTGCGAAGAAGTTGCACGACAGCTTTCCTTGGTGCCTTTCACACCAGAAGCTACCACAACTTTACCATCATCTTTACGTGACGTCATTCAAGGAGAGGTCGCCGAGGCCTTACCAGCTGCTCTCGAGCCTAATCTTGTGGCTGCTCCTCTCACCTATGCCGCGGCTGCAGCCATGCCAACTCGCAAGGCGCCTGCGCCTCCGTTCCAGCCTCGCGCGAGCTATCCCCCAACTCCAGTTCACTGGACCAGCACTAACACTGCCAACCCGTGGCGCACCCTCGACAATCGCCCGATATGTTACGCTTGTCGATACCCCGGACACGTCGCAAGGTATTGCTGCCGCCGGACGCATATCACCAATGAAAACCACCGTGAGCCTTTCTTCCCGCTTGACCCCAACGCGCGATACGGTTCCTCCACTCCAATGCCACCCCGCTACCAGGACGACCACCGCCCTCGTTCGGGACGTCTTCGCTCGCCCTCTCCTATGCGTCGACGGCCCCCGCCTAACGAGGAGGAAAACTAGACGACGCAGTTCCTGAGGCAAGAACTGCGCAAGTTTCGGTTTGCCCAAGTCCTCATTTGTCACCTACCAATGTTATTGATGTGTTCAACGAAAATATCCCTACTGTCGCTCTTGCAGATACCGGTGCAGCTGTTTCTGTTATAGATGCTGGATTTTGCCGCTCAATTCGTAAGGTTACGACGCCTTTCTCCGGATTATCGCTTCGCACAGCCAGTGCTCAACCTGTTCAACCGACCGCAGTATGTACAGCCCGCGTGACAATTCAGGACGTTCTGTATACGATAGAGTTCGTGGTTCTTTCATCATGCTCCCATAATATTATTTTGGGATGGGACTTTTTGTCGCGTCATAACGCCGTAATCGACTGTTCTAGGGCTGAGGTTGAATTTTGCTCACTGGATGACAAAGCGTTCGTCGACACCCAGTTTGCCGCTAAACTTGTCGTTAGCGATAACACCTACATCCCTCCATGCTCTTTTGCGTTCGTGCCAGTTTCATGCAGCGCCATATCCGACGGCACGGTCTTCTTCACACCATCTCCAATATTCGTCGCACGAAGAGCCCTCCCCCTGCCTTTTGCTGCTCACGATCTTGTAGAAGGCTCAACCACAATGCCAATTTATAATCATGAGTCGTCGTTACTTTGTCACGAGTGCCTTGGCCACGTCGAGACAATCAGTTATTCCAGAATTATATCCGTCCCCGATGAGGTGCCTTCTACCTCCGTCTGTGAACTGGCTGTCGTCTCAGCGCCTGACTCAACGTCGGCAAAGATATTTCAACCATTCATCGCTGCAGATTTGACATCTTCGCAGCGTTCACAACTCCTCACCATTCTTGAGAGCTACCGACATTCTTTCGACGTTGAACAAACATCTCTCGGCCGTGCCTTAGCAGTAGAACACCACATCGACACTGGGTCCCACTCACCGCTGCGACAACGACCATATCGCGTGTCCGCTACAGAACGCCGCGTCATTGCTGACCAAGTAGACGAGATGCTTCGCAGAGGCGTCATTCGACCTTCACAGAGCCCATGGGCGTCTTCGGTGGTTCTCATCAAAAAGAAAGATGGTTTTATTCGTTTCTGTGTCGATTTCCGGCGATTGAACAAGATCACGCTGAAGGATGTCTATCCACTACCTCCCATTGACGATGCTTTAGACAGTTTGCAGGGTGCCGAGTTCTTTTCCTCGTTAGACTTGCGGTCAGGCTACTGGCAGGTGCCTATAGCGGAGGCCGATCGCCCCAAAACCGCTTTTGTCACGCCAGATGGCTTATATGAATTCACCCTCGTGCCCTTCGGACTTTGCAATGCACCAGCAACGTTCGAACGAATGATGGACAACATCCTGCGTGGGCTAAAATGGAAGATATGCTTGTGTTACCTCGATGATATCGTGGTCTTCGCCCCTAACTTTGACACACACTTACGTCGCCTTCAGCACGTCCTTACTTGCTTAACTAACGCCGGTTTGCAATTAAACCTCAAAAAATGTCGATTTGCCATGCGTCAACTGAACATTTTGGGCCACGTTCTTTCCAAGGAAGGCATCCTCCCGGATCCCGAGAAATTGCGAGCTGTTCCGGCGTTTCCTAAACCTGCCACCATCAAAGAACTTCGAAGTTTCATCGGCTTGTGTTCGTATTTCCGGCGATTCGTCCGAAACTTTGCGTCTATTATATCACCTCTCACGCAACTTCTCAGCAGCTGTAAAGACCTCTTATCGTGGTCCCCTGCCTGCGACGAGGCTTTCACCACCTTGCGACGGCTTCTCACGACGCCACCCATTCTACGCCATTTCGATCCTAAAGTTCCAACTGAAATCCACACCGACGCCAGTGGTGTAGGCCTGGGTGCTGTACAGCGTAAACCGGAACATCAGGAATACGTCGTGGCATACGCTAGTCGCACACTTACCAAGGCTGAGAGCAACTACAGCGTCACAGAAAAGGAGTGCTTGGCCATTGTGTGGGCCCTTGGAAAGTTTCGCCCATATCTATATGGTCGTTCTTTTGACGTCGTGACCGACCACCACGCGTTGTGCTGGCTTTCGACGTTAAAAGACCCATCTGGCCGCCTCGCTCGCTGGGCGTTGAAAATTCAAGATTACGACAAGATCGGTCAGGACGGAAGCATGCTGACGCCGACGCCCTTACCCGTTCCCCCCTGTCCCAGAATGCCACAGCTGACTCCGCTTGCGATTCCACATTGTCATCGCTTGACTTTGACACCACTGCTATTGAACAACGCAATGACCCGTAGACTGCGTCTCTCCTCAATCATCTCTCCGACACTTCTGAACTCCCAAAGACGCGAACGCTTCGGCACCAAGTTCCACACTTCTCGATACGTGACACGCTTCTCTATCGACGCAACTACGCACCAGAGGGACGCAAGTGGCTGCTCGTCGTTCCACGAACCATGAGGTCGCAGATTTGTTCCTCTTTTCACGCTGACCCACAATGTGGCCACGCAGGAGTCTTCAAGACCTACGAAAGGCTTCGACATCGCTACTGCTGGCGTGGTATGTATACCTTCGTCCGCAACTTCGTCCGCTCTTGTGCCGAATGTCAGCGCCGAAAATCTCCACCACACGCCTCCACCGGTGAACTGCAGCCTTTACCATGCCCTTCCCGACCCTTCGAACGGGTTGGAATAGATATTTATGGGCCACTTCCATTGACTCCGACTGGCAACAGGTGGATAATAGTTGCTATCGACCACCTAACGCGCTATGACGAGACCGCTGCTCTTAACACGGCTACGGCACAGGAGGTTGCCACTTTCCTACTGCGTCACTTTGTGTTGCGTCATGGAGGCCCTCAAGAACTCCTCAGTGACCGCGGCCGCGTGTTCTTTTCCGAGGTCATTGAAAAATTGCTCGCTGAGTGTGCTATTGTACATCGCACATGTACCGCTTACCACCCTCAAACCAATAGGGCTACCGAGCGCTTTAATCGTACTCTCGGTGACATGCTATCTATGTATGTGACGCCTGACCACTCTAACTGGGACTTAGTCCTCCCATTCATTACATACGCCTATAATACGGCAACGCAAGCGACAACAGACTTCTCCCCTTTTTACCTCCTCTACGGCCGTCACCCCTCCCACACCATTGACACCATCTTGCCCTATCGACCGGACGCATCCGAGTGCCTACCGATCTTGGACGCCGCCAGACACGCAGAAGAATGCCGCCAGTTAGCTCGTCGCTTTACCTGCGATGACCAAAACAGGCAAAAAGCAATTCATGATGCCCAGACCTCAACTCCCGTTTTTCTTCCGGGTGCTCTTGTATGGCTGTCAGTGCCGCATCGCACACCTAGGCTCTCTTCCAAACTTCTGCCAAAGTACGATGGGCCATATCGTATTCTCGAACAAACTTCGCCAGTAAACTACCTCATTGAGCCTCTTAAGCCACCATCAGACTTGCGACGTCGCAACCGCAAGGTTGTACATGTCCAGAGGCTCAAGCAGTACCATGGTTCAACGCCGCCTGCACAGGACTAAGTCGCCAGGATGGCTCCTTTTTTCCTCCGTGGGGCCATTGTAAAGAAGAGGAAGTACTCCGGCGCAGTGGCAGCAGCATCGAGTGGGCAGCAGCGGCTCGAGCTCGGGAATTGCGGCTGGTGCATCGCCTTCCAAGCCTTCCAAGCATCAACCTTTCTGCTTAATAAATCTTCTTTATAATTATAATGATTTAGGCATTAAAATGACACTATCCTCATGCATATTGTACCCTTAAAAAAACTAGACAGTACAAAATGTTCTGCTCTAATAACTTCACAGCACGTATAAATAATAACTGTTAATAAAGTGCAACAACTACTTCAAGCGTATAGTGAGCCACTTTTAAACTAGTCTTATACTTATTTCCATTGAATGTGGTAACTTGACGATTTTTCTCAGTCTTTCACATCGCGAGACAAATTTCACTAATCATCATCAGACTGCTGACTCTAAGTTGATGAGTCTAATTTCCAAATGCTTCAACTCTTAGCAGAAAAAGCTGACCGAAAGCCTCATATTGCCACAGCCTAGTCTTCAAGAAAGTCTGCTTACATTAGGGTAGTTAGTTGCCATTAGACATACCACAATAATAGTTTCACCCTGAGTGATGAATTCTAAGCTAAACTGAAGTACTAAGCTATTGCTTTCAAGTAAAAAAATAATGCATCAAAACAACGAAGGGTACAAAATTACACAAACACACATACCTCATCAATTGTAAACACCGCACTTCCAATATTTCTTGTGTCTTTCTCCTTGAACACCTCTGAAAATTTTTAATTTAATTTTGATTAGAACAAGCAAAATGCACCCCAATATAGTTTGCTGGCAGGTATTAGCATTCACATTCTTATACAGGGTTTATTTCTATCTATACACCACGACTAATGAAATAGCCGCACTAGCCCACTCACCAAGTTATTTTGTTCCCATTGCACAGGGCTCCACCATTATAATTATGCATAGCACAAGAAAGCAAGTTCTAAGCCTCACGAATTGTGAAAGTTTTTCCATAAAAGGACTTTTTCACGCACCAAAAATACGTGCCACAGCATAGAGCATTGCAACCAATAGAAAATGTTGGCTAGTCATATCACTCGCAGACGATATGGGGAGCCTGAACATGGATTGCTGACAGATGCAACAGCCCATTCTATCAGTATGGATGTACGAGCTATTATTTTTCTATTATTCCCTGCCATGTGTTCCTTCTATTTTGATGCCAATTCCACCATGCATTTCAATTGATCGTCTACTCTATATGAATTAGGTTGTTCATCACTTCTTCTATTCAACTGCAACTATAGCACCAGTTATGTGCAATTTATTCCTAGTCTGCTTAGCTAGAAACAAGATTGATTCAATTGGTCACCCATGATATTCTTCATCTCTCATATAAATTTTTTGAACGAGAGACAAGGAATGAAATGAAAAATGCTAGCACGCAATTGTTGCCTTCTTCGTCTTTCATTCAAAAATTTTTTGCATAACAATATATTGTATTCTAATTAACAATACCATATTTCCTATTGTTAGACTTGTAATTTTATTTTGTATAGCTTGCACCAATGTTCCCAATTTCTTCCATAGTTTATTCCATGTCATCCTATTTTTCAAAATTGTTGGATTTCTTTGTTGTTGTTTAATTTAGATGTTTAAGACTTCGATTGTGGCATTGTGCGGCATCAGGCGATAGAACAGCTTTTTATAAGCGAAAGCAAATATTAGCTTGTCCAAAACAAAATTAATACAGTTATGCAGAGAAGTTCTACACAATACCTTTTTGTCCTTTTGTTTACTACATGAGCATTTGTTTTGTTCCATACATGCTTGGGTGCATGCTGTCAACCTCAAAAATATGGTGAAATAACCACAGTGGTTACAGACCTGTATATGGGAATGTGTTTTGGCAGTAATGCAAAATGGAAATATTTTATTCTCCCAACCCTTATTTTGTGGGATAGCAGACAAAATATGGCTTAATATCTTTTATAAAGATGTCACTAGGAGAGTGACTTACTGGGAGACACTGTGCATGTAAAGAAATAATTCATAAAAGAATATGCATTGACAAAAAGTGCCAACACTTTACAAAGGTTTCACAAATCAGTCAAAAGTTTCATGTGCATTGGAAAGACATTACCCAAAGGAAAGTGAATCAAAGAAACCAAAGGCATCTTGCATTACATGTCATGAAATATATGTGTGCATATATGTGTGTTATGAATGCATACATTAGCCAATACAAACGGAAAACAATTACCATACTAGCTTCACAACTATGCACTTTTGAAAATAGTAGAAGACAATGCTAACATTCAGCAACCAGATATTTTTAAAAGATACGGTCCCTTAACTATACAACCATGCATGTTTCAGCGAGAATTGCCGACTTCAGAAAAAACGCAGTATTTCACTAGGAGACCACGTCGGTCAACAACTCGCTGCAGCTCTTATGTTCTTAATTAGAAAAAAGTTACCACACCTCTGAAGATAAGAGAAGCAAACTGCACCAGTATACCTGGTGCTGTAACTTACTCTTCTCATAAAAAATATCTGAAAATATACCAGGAGCAAGAAACATGGTTCACAAGCAGCACGGAAAACCTCAAGCACACACTGTAGGTGCTAGTACTGATCTGAACACTAAACTAGAAACACGGAAAATGCACAGACCTGCAACTGCTAGCTACTTGCCATCTTAATGTACGTGCAATCACAGAAAGCATACTTACACATCTCTGTCGCAAGATATGTGTGCATACCAGAAGGCTAAAGCTAGCACGAAACATATGGTGTGGCTTTTATACAAATTCAGTGAAAATACAAGAGTTGCTTAGCCATTCTGTATGTCACGAGCTATTGTAACCTTTCAATACGTAGCGACTAGCCCGACTTCTACACTTCCAGGCCCACTGATGCTACAGAAAAAGTGCCAGATTGCCATTACTTCACTTGAAAAGCTATTACTATTAGTACATTGCTTTCCTCACAACTTTTGTTCTACTTCACACAAATACAGTAAAAAGTGGAGTCGACCAACTTTTTCAACCTGTCCACTACAGCCCCTCACATGTTGTTCATCTTTACCACAACTGATTTCCAAAATGTTTTTGTTTGTCATCTTCTCTTGTTTCCTTGTGCGGATATCAGAGACGATCCGGAAAGCTCCCACTACGTGTGTTGGAGGGAAGAGCCCTGTTTAAATGTGCAAATACTGCAGGATGGTGAAATCGACAAACTAAGATTGAGAACTATCCAATGAAAATATGAAGACTATGGGACTACCAACATGCACCAACTTCCAACTTACGCTGCCTGGACAAGCACAAACATCATGAGATATAGAAAGTAAAACAGACAATACAGTTTCTGTGCCTGAGTATAAGGAAAAAAATACTGAGAGTCAGGTTTACCCATGTGAATGTGCACGAGACTGTTGTGTGGCATAAGAGCAGGTTTTATGCAATAGATTGCCTTCAAGTGCTTAAGATCTGTTACAGCTTGTCTAATAACAGCGTGTCTAGCAGTATTTGTCCACATCTAATTGGTTACTAAATGTAGTGGCTGAACTACACAGTGTAACTGAGTAAGAAGGTGCAATCAATCAATAAAAATCTTGTGGGAAATGTAACTGATTACAAGTGATTATTATGTGCAATTCATTACATAAAACTCTACACACATTTATGGTCTTTAGCGAAATGATACATACCTTACAGAAACACACCCATGTGCAGAAAATAATTCTGTATATACATACAGGCATAGGAAAATATTTTTATTTAGCTAATTACAAGGCCTTACTCAGGGTTCTGTATTTTAGCCACATCATTGCCCATAAAATGCACTTTGAAGACAAGAATTAAGTGAAATCCAGGTGGTATGTTTCAGTGAGGTCATGATAACAAGGCCAATTCGATCAAGTCACAGGCCTTGCAGTGAGCTTTCTTAAAAGCTGTTGCCCACATAACTAATTCCAAGGTTCAGTGAAAGATAACGGCAGTGTGGTTCGACATATCTCACCTATCATGGTCCTCAGCTTTACCGCACAACCAATGAAGTCCTCAAAAGCAATATTGCCATCGTCATTGCCGTACCGAAGGACCAGAGCTTTGAGAATATGCTGGTTCACTTGGTATCCTAGGAAACAAAAAAATATTGGACAATTGAAAATTTGATTGGTATGTGCATATATTTACATGCCATATGCGTTTATGAACACTGAAATTTTGCAGTAGAATTAGATGCAATTACGTGTAAATTTGTTTCAGATGTGGAACTAGATGCCAAGTTTTTTTTCTTTTAAGCGGTGTAGCAGCTGTGCACAGAGTGGAAAATACATAAAACATCATTGAAAAGCAAAGCCACTGTTGAAAGGAATAACATTTCAAGTAAGCTGTGTTTATCTAGGAAGCATTTATGTTTAGACTATGTCTGCAAGTTCTAAGATCAGTACGAGTGTAACAGTTTCCAGTTTTCATTGCACTTTATGTCAGAAATATTTCCCACATGTGATATACATAAAATGGCACGCTCTTAAATTGGACATTTATTTATGTAGCACTCTTGCACAGAGTCTGCATCATGTAAACACTACAAAACTGTATAAATGAAAACTATAACTCGTTCATCCACCAGACAGTTCTCACAATTCTGAATGTGTGAGACATGGTAAAACCATATTTTCAATACACAGAATTATCTCGCACCTAAATAAGTAAACAGAAAACCATGAAAAAACAACAATTCAGTGAAAAGACAGACAATACATTGAAGGCCACTGAAAATATTTACTCTAAACTTGACAAAAATATCTGGAAGCAACCCAGGAAATAACAATCTTGATCATGAAGATAACTGAATTGCCTAGGAAGTAAGTAAGCAATGCTCATGTTTCTCATGTATGCTACGAAGCTAATGCATTATAATAAACTGTTTTGGTTCAACCGATAAGCACTAAAAACCATGCTCATCCTACATCATTCATGCAAAATTAATGTCACTTTCTATAAATTAATACATCTGAAATAATACACTATTAGGCTATAAGTTTAAAAATAATGAGGTTTACAAAGCCTTGGTACATAGCGAACAAGGCATTATGAAAAACAATTGTAATTGCCCCTGTAATTAAGTTACAGTAGAGTACAACTGAAAATTTCGTACTTCCCCTCCTTCCTACAACCTCTATAGAATTTTTTTTTTGCTGGACCAGAACGCAGCAGAGGTAACAAAGTGTGCAAAATGTATACACGTATAATGCTTGAGCATGGCAGTACTACAAACACTGTTTAATAATAAAAAAATTACAGATGTAACAAAGTGCATCTAACAAATGTTGTTTTTGCTATAAACATTGCAAGTCTAACAAATATGAATGGGAAACCGTCCATGAATTCGGTACAGTCATGGTTTAACAACAGTATAGTTATGCAAATGTTTGGCATAAGTAGGCTTTAGAGATGTAGGCCTCACCGGCGGAATTCAAGGCAGCCCTCAGCTCGAACGTGTTCAAATAGCCTGATCCGTCTTTGTCAAATGCTGTGAAGACATTCTGAAAAGAAAAAAGAGAGCATACAAATTACTCACACAGTGAATAAGTGCGCACCAGTGAACATTACTTTCCAAAATATTCCAAAAATGCCAGGCTCGTGCATTGCTCTTTATGTCACTACAAGAACAACGATTAAAGATTGATTTATAGCAATTTATCAATGATTGCCTTCGTGTTGTTGTGATGATTCGTGTTGTTGTGAACTACCTCATGTGCCAAAGCTAATTATTTGCTACAACTTGTGCATTATGTAAAAAAACTGATTGTTTGGTATGTGGAGTTTAACGTGTTAAAAGCACCATATGATTATGAGAAACGCCATAGTGGAGGGCTCTGAAAATTGAGACCACCTGGGGTTCTTAAACATGCACCCTAATCTGAGCACAAGGGCCTACAGCATTTTCTCCTCCATCGAAAATGAAGCCGCCGCAGCTGGGATTCGACCCCACGTCCTGCAAGATAGCAGCAGAGTACCTCAGCCATTAGACCACCGTGGCGGGGCATATAACAGTCTGTTTATATATGACACGAGCCTCTTACATATGGCAAAGTGAGGGAGGTTTGACGACAAAGCCAGGTTTTTAGGAAACTAAAAATTCTCCCGCAAAATTTAAATCATTACGACAGTAAACAGGGGTTTCCATTGAATATGACAGCTTCTTCTGCAAGCCTCTGTTATCATGTATGTGTATTATGTCAATAAATTATCACTAACAGAGGGTTATACAGTACATATTTATTAAGCCTGTTTCCCTAAATTTCATCAAACCATGGCTGCTGTCAGGTTAAAAAGCAACTATGGCAAGATTGGTTTTTATTTCTTTTGACGAAACCACTCAACCAACAAAATTAGAACTTAAAGAGATGTGAATAGAATTGGTTCTACAATAGGAAATGGGCAAAAGAAATACTGTCACCGAACTGCCAACAAGGCAGTCACATATTTGATGAAGTAAACCTATTATGGTCACAACAAAGCTGGGCTCTTTTTTTAAAGCAGTTGCATGAAAAATAACTACTTAATTTGTGATACAAACATGCATGAGCAAATGACACATAAAACCATTAGTATAAGAGCTTTCTGCGCAAAACACACCTTCCAGGTCCTAACTAGGATCCAGAGAGCTCTGAACTCATCCAGCCCAAGTTTTCCTGAATGGTCGTCCTAAGAGTAGCAAGCATAGAGTCAAGAAAAAATGGGCAAATTGCTGCCAAAGTAAGCACACCGAACATTTGCTGAAAAAGAAATTGTGGAGGAGTTTTTTCAACTTGGCACCTATGCCCATGTGATTATGAAGCAAAAAATACAAAGAATTTTCGGTTTTGGTCAGAAATCCCAAAGCGTTGAATTTAACATTAATGAATGTGTCTTATATAGATAGGGTTCAGCACTAATTACATCTGCGCATGCAATGTTCTTAGCAAATATGCCCCATAGTTTATTCATGTGGCATATATACTCAAAAGATGGCGATATGGCACTCTCTTTTTTGGGGGGGGGGTCTGTGTATCCCCACATGCACCCTAGACAATTTATTATAGGTGCATTGTACAGTAAAATGTAGTGGATACCGAAGGTATGGGAGTTTCACTTGCCTGTCACTATACTACAGGCTTAATCAGTTGCCATCATTAGAGGGCACACTCCTAGGTCCTATGTCACTAACTTTTGCCCATTAATTTCACTTTGTACATTTGTCATTGCTTTGACAGAATCATCTAGCTTATCTTCTTGAGCTGATTCATACAGAAATGTTGACCTTCATGTCAACTTTTCGTCGTGGCTCTTGAAGTAGCCCTGGGCCAAATTCACAATGCACAGCGTAATGTAGAAATTTGTTTGGTAGCACATGTGGTGGAAGCCAATTACATGGTTCATCTAGTAATAAACAAGGTTTTCTGAATAGCCTGTGCTTATGTCAAAACGAAAACTTCAAGTATTTTGCATATGACAGTTATTGACAAGAGTTTCATTGAGATGTCATAACAAAATGATAAAATTATGTTACAATTCTTTTACGTCTTCTGTGGCTAAACTTGTTTTTTCAGTTAGTACACAAAGAAAGATTAAAATCGTTCTCTAGGCATGAGACTTGCAGATCTCAAGTTTGAAGAAGACAAAGATAAATTTTGTAAGGCATGAAGATAAGGCGTGTACGCATGAAGATAAATTTTGTAAGGTAGCCTATCATTAGATGTATCAAGAGCAACAAAAACGGACTGAGTGGCTGAGAGAAATGTAGCCATGTGCTTTATGGAATAAACTTCTAAATGTTTATTTTAAGCCAAGAATGAGTAATACAATATACTTCACAATACATAAATGCACAGTTGCAAAAAGGATACGTCCATGAGCGCCACCATGCTTCGGCACACATCCAAAGAAAACTGCTCAGACCGAATCTCTGTGAATAAAAAGTATAAAAAGTAAGCGAAGCAAAAAAACACATGCGCACTTTTTGCAGAATCACCCATCAGGCAAAAATCTCATCAAAATAATTTCTTATACTTTTCAGTGAAACACTCTGCAGTAATATAAACTTGAAATGGGGTGCAGTGAATGACTATGCGATGAGTAATAGTTGCATTGTCAGTTTCAATCCTAAAGGTAGTTTCAACACATTAGCCACTTCCAAGGCAATGCACACTCAGACATATGCACAAGGTCAGAATGAGAACCAGGGCAACCACGAGGCAATGCTACGAGTGTTTGTTAAAAAAATTATGCACAATTTCTACCATTGTTAGGTGTCACAAGGCGTAGTAACTATGTACTCGTCGCTTATAACTATATCATGACAAAACACTTTTAGCAAAATGTCATATTATCGTAATACCATGCTATGACATTGTGTGCAGAACACATGCCAGATTAAAAGGTACAAACAAATGAAGTCAGAAATAAAATAAAAATACTTTTGGCAGATTCACAAATCCCAGTAGAAGCAACTGACGAACATAGCTTAAGTAACAGCTAGTAGTATATTTTTGATGAGTGAAAAGACAATACCACTTGTTACAGTCTGAAAGTTAATTACTTGAATACTAGGCAATCTATCAATCGCAGCCTATTTAAGACCTTTAAATGCATGCAAAATTTACGCAGAACACTACTATGATTCCTTTACTTGTTTGGAAGCCGAACATTCTGGAAGACCACATTACATATTTCACTGCCCACAGTGATAGTGCTTTAACTGATGTTTGGAAACAAAAAATGCTTGAAACAAATGTAACAGAAGGTGAATTTTAGATTCAGACACAGGCAGCTGTGCCACGACGCTATTATGACATTGTGGTTCAATAGATTGCGGCTAAAGCACACACGCACACACAGACAACACTACTTGAAGCCAACATCAAGAGGGCAGTGAGATGAACAGGAGATTCAAGTGGACTGGAAAACTTGGAAAACTTATTTGGCTAAAACACAACCAAAGGACGACAGCTCATGCACAGCGACACACTGGAGAAGGTTTGCCCGCTTACCGTCGTCGTCACCGTTCTCCCGGGGAGCTGATTGGACGAAATGGGCGTTCGTGAGAGTGCCCAAAACAAGCGTGGGAAGACGATGGAGAAGGGAAGGTTTTTGCAACAAAACAGCGAGAAAAACAACACAGTTTCATTCTTCACTCACACTTGCATATGACGATCTTTGAAATACTTGACTCTTTGAAATAAAACTGAGAAAAGCCTAGACATAGGCATGATTTCACACATGGCCATTGTGAAATAAGCAATAAATGAGACATGCCAGACCAAATATGCCTTCTACTCTCTATCTCTATAGACTAGTTCTACTCTCAACTCTAACAGACTACCGTATGCTTTTCACATTAATTATAGCCCAGCTGCATGCCTTGCTCTTAATTGAGATTGCCCAGAATACATCATAAAGATGTTATCGATAAATGGCCAGTGTGAGGTATAGTGAACAAAGCAAGGCACCATGAATTTTATGGTGGTACAAGTCAGTAGTTTCTAAATGAATAGGCCACAAATTAAGGTATAAACCGAGGCAACTACAGCACTGTCTGCAGGTGCAATTATAAAAAATTAAGCTAACCACTGTCAACGTGATTTTACCTCTTGCAAGGACACAACATGTGACAAAAAGCACTTATTTTTAAAGCTCAGTACAATACGCAATCATTGGCATAAAACCTTTATAGGTACTATTAAAATGAAGCACAGCTGCACCATGTGTCAGCTCTTTTACCAATTTTCAAAGTAACGGCCAGAACAGCCAGTCCAACATTTCAGATGCCGGTTGAAGATTAGCTTTGCTACTAAATGCCTCGAGTTATGCAAAGCCAAAGAAGAGAGAAAGACGAAGAAAAAGAGCCCAGAGAAGCGTACGAGTGGAGGTGCTACAATGGAAGCTATGCTCCCAAGAAAAAGCATGTCACTTGCCCAAGGAAAGCAACAAGCGTGCGTTGCGTTCTCCAATGTCCCAGTCAACGAGCCTAACGGTCACACATATACTCGACGTGTGTGTGTGCACGTGCAAAGAACCATACGAGGACTTACATTGTGAGCTAAAGCAGTCAAGACACTTAAGCAACTTGCGCCAATCACAATCTTGCTCGGGTGGTGGCGGCTTTGACACCGTGCGACGCACTGCTACAACAAAAAACCAAGGAGGATAGGCGCACAGGAAAGAGTATACGTGCACTGCGCCAAACATCTTTGAAAAATTTGATCTGACAAATTAAGAACTCAAAATGAAAGAAAAAAATGTGTCTGCACATGAAATCGTGGAAGTGAAAAACATGCTTGCGTCATGCATGCCACAAGAGCATGCTGTTTGGAGAAGAGATTAACGCTCAGTTGTGTTTATCTTAACTCATGACATGTCTGAGATAGGTTTTCAGTAATCATTAGTCGGCAAAAATATATAGAGCTCACTCTGACTCATTCAATTACTGTAATATTTTGCCCTTAAGGCTAAGACCTTTTTGAACCGGACTCCCTCAGATTCACAGTTTCATCTGAGTCTGAGCAAGTTTGCCAACCTATGAAAGTAATTATAACATTGAAAAGCTACTGTGTTTGAAAGCCTGCATTTTTGTGGTAATGCCTAACATGTTTCTCAAAAGTGTTTCAAAGCTATTCAAATATGAACAGCCTTGAAAAATATTCAAATATGTTTCATACGTGAAGAAAAGCCACCCATTATGAATAGATGTTCACATCCCTGTCACTACATCTCATTCATTATGAGTTGAGAATTCATATTAATGAAATGTGGGTGGTTATTCTTACTGCTTGCGCAGATGCAATTTTCCTGCTTGCAAACTCTGAGATGGCAAGGACAGTCGTTGAAAATATATGAAAAAAAAGAGGGGGGGAGAGTAAGCAGGTTGTTAGGATGCAGGCCAATATGAGTGCATAGCATTCGTGCTGTTATGTTTAGTGCAGATCTGAGTGTGCAATCCTTGGCAAGCAGGGTCACAAAGGGTTTAAAATATGAGATGCGATTTCAAAGTGTCATAATATAATGAGCTACTGATAAACTAAAAAATAAAAGAAAAATCAGTACAGTATATAAATGTGCAATCGAATCAATCGTGCATATTACTAATATTGAAAGGAGTACTGACTTCACATTTTTGACATGCGCCAAGTCTTAAGAATGCATTTAAGAAATTTTTCATAATACCATATGCTTACTTTGATGAACAAAATTAAGTTTAGATATCAAGGTGGTATATGCATCAGGATATTATAATTATTCAGATGTCAGCAAATGTTTCCCTGTGTCATGATATTAAGATAAAATTGATAACACAGTGCCTGGCCTTCTTAAACCAACCTAAGTGCTAGATATAATAATTTCTTGATTCCAAATTGTCATACTTGCCAAGTTTCAGCCTTTAATATATGAAAACCTCTTATGAGCTCCATAACAACGAGCATACAAGTGTGTCAGTACTCCTTTAACTTAGCAGGCTCCGAAAATTCCAGTCACATTCGTGCGAAGTGATCAAGTGTGGCACTGCAGGGTTCAAGCTATTAGTAGTCACATAATGCACATTCATGTTGTCAGTCGCACTTCCTGGAATGCACAGATTATGTTTGAAAATCTTCAATATGTAACTGATACTGAAAGATACTAGTCAGAAGGCTTACTGTGAAAATGGCAAGGTTCTTCTCCTATATTTACCATTAGGACAGATGCATAGACCTTTGCGGCTAGCAATTTCCAGTAGTACCATTGTCAAGTACCATTGCTTCAGAACTGTGAATGGCGGCTCCGACTCTGTCATTTCGTTTATAGTTTTGAGTGTCGAAAACTAGTGCTATGGGAGATCATCTTACATAGTTTTATTAGGCCAGGAAAAATCACTGAGATGCCAATGCTTTCTCTTATTTACAAACCAGCAAGATCTCTCTGGCATAAACTTCAGGTGGCCCCTGAATAAAGATTCAAGAGAAGCTCTTGAAAAAATAAAGCTTGACTAATATTTTAAAGCACTCTCTGAAATATTTTGAAAGCAGCATCTGTAAACATCTTCCTCTCATTACTGGCGAATGAAAATGGTAACAAAAACTGCTTTTTCGCATACTTGATTTATAAGCTCATTGTATTAAAATTCGTTTGAGACTCTCATGATCAGAAGCTACTTTCAAGAATATTAAACAGCATATTGTTTACCATTATATTGTTAAAAGCCTTAGCACTAATGCCTGCTCTTTAAAATTTCTGGCCACAGCATTTGTCAACCTATTTCATATCACAAAAGGTTAAGCACAAATTGAAGCACATTGGTTTAACATATTGAATCTTGATGATGGCAGCAACAGTTGCAATAGGACTCAAGAACCATATCATTAAGAAATTACTGTATCACTTTTTTTGTCAATGCAAAAAGCATCAACAAATATAATTTTCCATGTAGCTTTGCAATTGAATGTGCTAAAATATGCACATTCTAGAAAAGTGCGACTATCACCACATGAAAAAAATTTGTAACGATGCGGGGAATGAATTGTAACAAACTCTTACGCGCATTGCAGCTACCAGTGAGCCGTGAAGAAAGGAAAACTCTTGGTTAGTGCAAACGTTTGGCCAAGCAAACTTTGAATCACAAATAAAATGCCACTTTAAGGTAACAAAACTTTTCATCACACAAGCAAACCTGGCTGGCAAAATGTAAGAATTGGTTTTCCTCTGATTATATTCATTCCTTAAATTTTTTAGTATCAAGCATTCTTGATGATAACATGGCTACTATCACTATCAAAGTAGGAACAGAAATAGCACAAAACAGAATCGTTTATTATGCAAATGCTAATATCCAGTCGACTTGCAGTAATTCAAACTGAAATATATTTTATAATGCTTCATCATTTAAGTAAATTTTGAATGTGATGTTTTAAGGAACTATTACATCAACATTAGGCTTTTCAAAATTATTATTTCCTCGCGCATAGCACCGATATAATCACTCTTGCTTCTACATCCAAAATACGGCTGAAAAGTAACCCTTATTTTTTTTAAGTGACCAAAAAAGCCATATTTGAATATGGCTGGTTAAAGAAACAAATAAACTTTAGTTTGCATTCATGTACTTCCTGCAGGATAATTAAACTATTAAACTATGGCTGTCAAATAAAACTTTATATTGAAACCTAACATGTGTGTCACAACTTCTGATGACCACCGAAAGATGTTTTCGAGAAATACTTTTCTGGCATTGCAGGTATAATAAAGTTGTTTTAGTTTATATTATGTAAAAAAAAGTGTGCTTTTACACATTTATGTAACATATGTAGCAGATACATATGTATGAATTTGCTGATTGATTAAAGTGAACATTTTGCATAGGGCCATATTTTATTACATTTTCCTTAACTCCAATGTACTTTGACCTGCTATTGTGCTGCTGCAAGTTTGAATGAAGGCAAGTCGACTGAACATAATGACTGCACATAGCTTAATGAAAAGAAAATGTTAAAACTATGCGTGCAGTGTTATCATTTAAGTGATGAAACAACTTTCCATACACTGAGTAAAACTGTGCCAACTCAAACTTGTACCATGTAGTTACGATTCTATAATAATTTTTGTGGGCCAACTCCTTTAAACATATGTTCTACTTGGTCTGATAGCGTGAACATATTCAGGCAAGTTTGTAAGCCTTGAACTTGACTCACTACTATGCAGCAATGGCCATTAGGTTCTCCTGATGTTAAGAACAGTTGAGTCATAAATGCAAAAATTAACACTCAGTGTGCTCAACATTTAAAGAAGCAGAGAAAAGTGACACCAACTTTCTCCTGCTTATGGCTTTTTCTTATAATCTTGCCTGTATTCTTTCAAGCACTCAAACATGCTACACATTCATCGCTCAGCCTAAATGTAAGACAACGCAAAGTATAACACTTCTGTATAGAGCTGGCCATCAAAAAATAATATAAAATGACTATTGCATGAACATAATTTGTGTTGGAAGAGTTCTGCTAACATAACTGCTTACAGCCACCTCAAGTCATAGCTTAGATGATATTGCACGTTCCTCTCTGACGTTTTGCTATAGATGATCAGCTTAGCCATCTTTATCACAGTCAAACTTGAATTAGATGATAATTAGAAAGCGAGGTTAAATAAATTTTCAAGATAAATGACTCCCAGAATGGTGTAAAGTTCAACAACACTGCACAATGCAAATTCAAAGCCACTGTAAGAGTAGAAAACTGGAAGCAGCGTAGGGAAACCTTTGCGGAAGACCATGTTGAGGATCTTCTGGAGTTCATAGCTGTTCACTTCCATGTCATCACCAGCAATTTTGGCAAATAGGGCTCGCAACTGCTGAGCACGATCAGAACTGGGGTCCTCTTCTTTCGCACGAACCTGAGACACATTTCAATTAAGAGTCACCCTGCTCTCTTCACAAAAAACATAAATACAGCAATAAAGTTATCTTATGACCATTAGGTAATCTTTCAAGCCTCTCTTCTCACTAATTCAGAAGGAAAGGATATGATTACCAATGAGTAAAATGAGACAAAGTTTTTCAAATAAGACAAACTTTTTCGATTTCGTGCAGAAAAAATTTCAGTGCTGGTACAACAGTGTTAACATCACCAACTTGATATTTGGTTCCTGATAGAAGTTATTAAAACTTATGATCAATAAATTCAGATAGCCTTATTTTGGAAGCTATAATTAGATGCACCTATGTGCAATCATTCACTCAATCCTTACTGTGGGTGCCTGTGTTTGCGTTGCGAAGCCGAAGCGATGCTGTAACAAAAATGACAAGCACTGGTAATTTAGGCAAAAGCAAAAATATTGGTAGGCAACAGTAGCTACATCACTTTTTGAACATGCTAAGTAAACCAAGCTATTCAACTATTATACAACTCTGTAGTGACAAAATAAGCCAGTCACTCTTATTTTACCAGCAGTGAAACCTCACAGTTATCTCCCTTTCAGACCCAGCAGATATTGTACGGATATTCTACTTTAAGTAGACCTGCAACACTTCTTGAGCATGGTCATAAAACGCTGCCGATCAATAGTAGAAGCTCCTAAGAGCACGCAAGCCAAATATTATAGTGCAGCATGTGGCCTGGAATTCACAATGAATTCTCCACGACAGCTGAAAATTGCTTTCTCTTCTCTCGACAAATGACGGAAGATGCACAAAAATCACCCGTCACAGCTGTTCTATGAGCCATTGGCTGGTATGAACATGGCGTACTTGAGGCTGTCACTTGTCCATGTTTGCGCATGCGATCGCACTGAAAAATCCGCGTATTTGAAGAAGAAGAAAAAGGGCTCATGGTCACAAGGCGCGTGTGACATATTTTCTTTCTTCGGGCCTTTCCCTCCCAGCTTAGCTTCCAGTGCTTTCGTTGAGACGAGAAAAGAGAAAATAAATTTGCAGGGTGCGAGAAATCTTTGTAACTTCGCTCGTACAGGACGGATTCTAAACATTTTTGCAGCACTAAATTTGTTAGGCAATAAGCTGTTTTAGTAAATCCATTTTATGGCTACTTGAAAAAGTATTGCAAGGCCCCATTTATTGCAAGGACATTCCTTAAGTTTTGGTGAATGTGTTGTTAAGTGCTTTTAATTACATCATTAGTTTATTGTGAGACACTAACAAGACCTAACAATAAAACTATATTAGACTTACGTTATCGGCAGGAGGAATAATGGCAGGAGGTACATCATGTTCACTGGAAGCAAGAAATGGAAAAAAATATATATATTACACACTTGTTCAAGCTTGTACAGCATAGCCCGCACACAGAGCAAATGCCACGCTAACACTACGTACTGGGAGATGTTCCTTTTCTCGGTGAATATCCGCAAGAGGAACTCTCCCGTCTGGTTGGGCTCGAAAGTGGAGGGCACCACACAGTAGGTGCCGGGCGGAAGGTTGAAGCGAGTGGTCACTTCCCTCGAGTTGATGAACGTGTGCGATCGTGCCGCCGACGGATGGAACTTGAAGAACGTCAGGTCTAGTGGCGTCGGGCAGTTGTCAGGGTCATCGATCTAAAATGGGGAGCACATGACAAAATGCCGCTTGCTCGCACGAAAAACTTTGCTAATCAAAGCTGTGTGGCATAAGACTGCCTTTCTATTTACTATACTTATACATCCATTCATTCATACATACCTACCGTCAAGCTTTACCTGACCTAATATAAAGAAAGATTACAATGCAGCAACAATAACATAATAATAACAACAATAATAATAATAATAATAATAGTTTGTTTGGTTCAATGCAACGAAGCTGTGCATGAAGCTACAGCTGGGTGAAGTCTACGTGCTTTGGTATGCACGTCAATTTTCTAGCCTTCAAGTTAGCCTCAGGAGATAGAGCACCCACTTCATAAATGTCTTGGTATGAAGTTTGAGTCCCAAACCACAACAAATTCTTCATCAACTGGAAGGATTTTTCTCGGTGAAATCATTAAATTTTTTCGTAACTTTGTGCCACAAGCTGGTGAACGGTGAAACAGCTGCCTTCACTTTGTAAGCTTATGCAGAGCTTATTAGTGACGAGCATGCTTACCCTGTAGAGGGCAAAACCAATGGTAAGGAAACAGTCCTGCCCCCAGAGTTCGGGCTGCCCGTCTGTTCTTCTGCATGAGCGCCACTATCAAGGTGCAGTTATGCTCGGCATCGTCATCGTCGGGATCCTCCAGGGTGATGAAATACTGCGGGTTCACCCAGAAGGTATCTGCATGGACCATGTTGATGTCGCAAAAGCTTATGCCTGTCATGTACAGTTGGGTAACGCCTTAAGTGTACAAATTATTTTCAATGACCTCATCAGTTCATCCAGCCTAAGCAATCAAGACATTTCAGCATAGATACATAAATAGACAGATGCATGAGTGTACTCAGGAGTCAAAATATTTTTAATTGAATCAGCTTGATATTGACAAGCATCTGATGACGTCACTGCTAATGCACTCACAGTTGAATTCTTTAAAAGTGGTACGTTTTTACAATGAAATGAGCAGCATTAAACGAAAGTAACAAAAGATTTCTTGCATCACAGCCATATAACAAGTGCTAAGGTGAGGCACTTTCTCAACAATGTGACTTGACATTGAGGTGTCTTAAAGGCACACTTCGGTATGCAGTAGTTAAACTGTGATATTTAAAAAAAGTGGCCAAACAATTGTTTAAAGGTGTGGCACCATCGAAGTTGTGGCTAGCACGTTCTTTGTTGCAAACATTTCTGATTTCCAGCTAGCTCCACCCTTATCCAGTCTCATGTATATCGCTATGATAAGCTGGTGTGTTCAAGCAAACAATTAGTGTGCAAACGAACTGAAATTCTGAAAGAGAAAGAAGACAACAGCCGATTGCAGCACGAAGCCACAAGAAAATCCATACGGATTTCTCAGAAAGAAAAGCGTCCTTGTGGCTTCGTGCTACAAACAGGTCTTTCCCTTTCTTAACCCTCCTGCCACCTTGTGGGCTTCCCCAGAACTCATTGTGAACTTAAATTCTGTAAAGTTGTTTTCACAGGTCCCCGTGAGGATGTAGAGCACTTTGAAAAATGCAAGCATGTTCGGCTGCTTTGGCAACATGCTGAGAAAAAATGAGTGCAGGTTCGCAACTGATGCTCTCTTAACTGTAGGTCAACACTCATCGCACATCACTCTAATATGATTTGAAATCACTGAAACTTCCCTTATGTTTCCGACACAGTGACACCGATGTCAGTCGCGACAGCAATGGCTCCTGATCGTGAGAATGAGCATTTAGGCACACTGTGCAAGCAAATAAAAATATATTATAAGTGTTAGCCAAGTCCAACACGTTGTACTGAGTGTCTTTGCATAGAGAGGAAGTCTACAGCAGGCTTTTACAGCCTCAAAGTTTGGTGGCACCAAACTTTTGTCTAAGACGTAAGGAAGAGAGAAGGTATACTTATATTTGAGTGATTCGAATATGTGAACAAATATTACAGTATTTGTATTTGCTTTGGCATGAATTCAAATTATTCAAAATTTAGAAGTAGTCAGAATGAATAAATATTTATGTATAGTTGAGCGCATCTAACCCCCCACCCCTTCTTCTTGTAAAGGTAGTTTCACTGCAATGTGAAAATGCTATGACCTGAAGCCACCTACAAAAACATAATAAAAAAACATTGCCACAAAGCCACACTTTAAGGTTAAATGCAGGTATTATTCTCATCTTGATTAATTATTAGGTTAACTTTAAAGGCATGTTATATGAGCTTATATGTGCTATGTATCGTAAACTTTAAAACAAAATTTTAAAACTTCATTATTCAAGGTTGCTTCCACTTCACTTCGAACCAAAAAACGCACATGCCTAGTTATAAAAAATATTGTGCAAGTTAACCTGGTTCATGACGAAAATGCTCTTTTTTATGCATAATCTTACTGTTCAAACTATTCGATTTGAAATTCCTTGACCAATTAAATCACCATTCATTTCATACTTCAAATTTTTATTCAATCATCCTTACAATATTTATTGTTACTATAAACAGTATTATGCACTGTAAAAATTCATTAATAGATTGTCAATTAGAAAGGAACCTGTCTGTACAAACCGAGATAGTTTCGGCAACCTCCAGCGGTGGCTCCTCGGACCCAGGATCCTTCAAAGACCGACACCTCCCACTTCTTTTTTGACGTGTCTGAAAGTACCTCCTGGTCCAGCGAGTCGGGGCCCAAGTTGCAGATTTCCAGGAAGTGGAATTCCCGCATGAAGTCCCTTTCTGACATCCTAAAAATAAGGGGCAGAGAAGAAGCAGCATTGAGAACTCCAACCAAGCCACGAACTAAGTATACCTAATAAAACTTATTGTCTATTAGTCCTCATTAATATTGCCTCTAACAAAGAAAACGAGCCCTTAAATTTGCAATCGCATTATCACAAGTATTGCTACAAAGTTAGACTAAGCGAGAAAGGTTCCATAAAATGAAGACTGTCTAATCTGCATGCCAGATTTTTCCTATATTAAAAAAAATTTAATACAATATTTTTTTATTAAGTTCAACAGGGGCAACAAAAAAAATTTCTGCACAAGTAACTGGTGACTGATACATAGATGTGATAGATGGTGCTACATTATATGACATTATGATAACAAGATGGTATTTAAAAGAGGCATAACACTTAGTTTTTTTATTTCTTGATCAATTTTTATAAAACATCCTAAGTTTATGTAGATTTACAAGTTGATCTCAAAAATGATATTCTTTTTCTAATACATAAGGTATTTTGCAAAAGTATAAAATACTTTACGTGATACTTGGGAAGCAAGATCATTGCCAAGCTTAAAAAGAGTCACAAAGTAAGTCGGGAAATCCCAATAATCTGGAATCATAACAGTACACATTATAATAAACTTTAGTCTTCAAAACCCACTTGAACACTAGTGAACTTACAGTGGACTCTCAGTGAAACGAATATTTGTTGGATTTGTTGAAGTGTGTTGCAGTGAATGGAAAACTGCTGCTTAAATGAAACAAATGCCTCTAATATGATTGGTTTCACACTTGAATATAGTTACCCAGTTCGCCTCTGAGTAAACAGAACTCCTGTTAAGTGGAACACATTTTCCCGGTCCCTTCAGGTTTCGTTAAATGAGAGTCTACTGTAATTTTAACATTCACAGATGAGTCAATGTCAAGCTTAGATTTTACTCAAGAATATTTGACACACATACAATAATGTACAAATTTCATTATAAACTATATGCATCCTTTCTGTTTTGATTCTTAATGAGCTACTTTTATGGCATGCCACATTATGCTTTCATAAACAGACCATGAATTCGCAAGCATGCAAGTGAAAAATGATATACGTAATGAATATGGATGAATATGATTGCATACAGTACTGATTTGTCAAGAATAACAATACGAAAGGTGTACAGGAAGGGCACTTGCCAAAATTCACCATCAGCATCGAATGTGAGGCCAATAGCTTCTCGCTCCTCGGGTGACACAAGGGACCATTCACGCGACCTGTGAACAACACAAAAACAGAAATAGCTGAACACCAAATGTGATTTCAAAAGATACATTACCCTTAGTTGTCATAAGTGATCGACACTCTTTAACTTAGAAGAAGTGTTGAAATATCATCTGAGAAATTTCATAAGCACACACTTGATGCATATTTAGTCAGTTGATTAGGAAAAGCTTAAGAATGCTTGTACAATATAAAATAATTAAAAGCAGTGGTTATAGAAACAAACCAATGTCACAAGAAAAAAACGAAGGCAGATATTGGATAGCAGAAGCAAAGAATAATTTTTAAAAACTACTAAACTCAATGATTCTAAGGGCAACTTATGATGACGAAACTGTGCGATACCCTACGGTGAAAAAAAAAAAGACGTAAAAGTTATGTTCACATAGGCCACCATGTATTGCTCACTGCCTTCATTGAAGTCGATCAAATATTACATAGTACACCTTTACAGATGCCTTACAACAACCTGTTTGCTCACATGCTCCTTCGCATTCTAAAAATTCCAGTTTGAATTTTAAAAGTAGCAGATTGACATGACGAAGTATAACAGGGTTCTTCACTCTTAGGTTAGGTAGACATTTCATTAGTACCCAAATTCTTATAGCAGCTAAAATTTGGCATGAAGTCTAACATACTAGTATTTTCATGAGGTATTAATCAAAAATTATCCGGCATGTAAATGCACTTTGTTAACATTTTACATTAGAGACTTTTAGTTACCGTGATATTTTTAATAAGTTTGAGATGTAAAATTTTGCTACAGCAAGGTGTGAAAAATATATTTCCATATTGGGCCTCTCACTGACATAGAAACGACAGACGACGTCCAACCTCGTAGCCTAGGCAATAGTTTTCCCTGAGCCTCAGTCACATTATAAAAATCTGAGCAAGTGCTAAATTCAATGTTTAGAGGCTGAAACACATCATTGGCCGCCTTGTTTTCGACATCACTTGCATTACCTTCAATAGTGTATGTGTCCCACAACAATAATTGTCCCCTACCATGTTTTAACACTATCTGTGTCGTACTTTCAGGTCACGAATTGCGTGTATGCTATCTGCATAAAATGGCATCCTATATAGAAACTAGCAAGCGCCAAGCTTTCAAAAAAGAAAACGTAAGCATGCCAGATAGTGATTATTGTTGTGAGGCGAAAACACTCCATTAAGAATGCAAAGCTGCCTTTAATATAATAGTATTTAATTAGGATTGTTAATTTGCAAATTTTCAGGTAATTCTTTTAAACTTGCAGAATAAACACCTGGTGCGATTTTTCAAGCTGATAATCGGGGACGAAGCGGGTTTTTCATGGAACAATATACTACGAAATTTGGGGTTTCTTTTGGGTTACACATAGTAGTGTTCTAAATACTAAGACTGTGGTAATAATGATTAAGTAATTAGTAAGTGGCAGAAAAAAGTTAGTGGCATGCTCCTAGTACACCAAGCAGCACCAGACAACCGTAGGATGGTTGGTTAAGATTCTTGTATTGTATGAGGCACGAAGTCCAGGGTTCAGCGAAAACATGCCTGGTCGGGAAAGTTGATGGTGAAAAAATTAAGTGCCGACCAATCAATAGTGGCCATCTTGTTTCGACAGACTGCCTTAGTTTTAAGGAGGCCCGGCAACACTTTTTGAGCACAGTCAGAATTCTAACGCTGCCCATCAATAGGCAAGGCTCTCGAGAACATACGAGCCAAAATTATTGTGCAGCACATGACCCAGAACTCACAATAAATTTTCAAAGCTAGAAATTGCTTTCTCTTCTACAAACAAGTAATGCTACAAGCTGAAAAATCACTCCTCACAGCTATTGTATCAGCTGTTGGCTGATTTGAACATAAGACGCTCAGTCGTCACTGGGACTGCCGGGTCTTTAACGTGCACCCAAATCTGAGCACACAGGCCTACAGCATTTTCACTTCCATTAAAAATGCAGCCGCTGCAGTAGGGATTTGATCCCGTGACCTGTGGGTCAGCAGCCGAGTACCTTATCCACTAGACCACTGCAGCGGGGTGTCCAACAGCATTTCAAAATAAACAGGAGTTGCATCGGCATTGCCGATTTTTGAGAAATTGTAATCATGCTGGTTTCTCAGGCCAATTACATATCTCTGGTACTTGAAAAGCTTCTTCTCTTAAGAAGCCGGCAAGCGTTGACATACTGTAGTTGGCCGTCTGATTGAGAGCTCTTGTCACTTCATAAAGCGGTGCGACCATTTGCGGCTCACACACAATCCGTGAGGTAAGCCTATACGTCCTGATTGAAAGCTCTTGCCGCTTCATAAAGCGGTGCGGCCACTCGCAGCTTGCACACGATTCGTGAGGTATGCCTAGGCCCTCACGACAGTCGCTGTGCTCTTACTTGGGCCATCTCAGTCAATATAGCATGACTCCTGCTTCTCATATCTTCGATTAACTTTACTAGCTGCGCCTCCAGCTAAGGGTAGGTGCCGGTTTTGGGGCCGTGAAAGGACCTATGTCTGTGGTACATGGCTTGTAGGCTGTCTTTCTTCTTTCTCCACAGTGGGATGCAGGACTTGTCCACATCGTGCCCTTTTCCCGCTTCGCGATTCCAGAATTTCTAGGTGATGGTGATGATCTTAAGCTTTTGCTGTGCGGTGAAGGACTGCCACCAGATGCTAGTCATGGTTACAGAACAGATTAAGTTAGGCTTGGCGGTCAGGTCAAGATGTGGAGAACTAACGATATCAGCGAGGTAAACAGAGCTCACACTCGGTGACAACTTTTTTTGACAGCACCATGGAAGCAACAGGATCGAAATGCATGCCTGCTACCCTGCCAAAAGTAGTATTTTAATTTACAGATACAGTCGAACCCCTTCATGAGACACTAATAAAAGAGACAAATGGGTATAAGAGACACTAGTGTGCTTACAATAAAATACAGGTTGAGAAGAAAATGCCTATGTGGTGCCCTGCTAATAAGAGACACCTCATATAAGAGCTAAGAATTTCTGCCCAAAGTGTGCCTTTTACAAAAGAGTTTAACTGTAATATTTCATTTGCCTAGCTGAAATAAATACTGCCTAATTTATTCTCGTTTGCGGAAAGTCACAGGTAACGTAGAGGTATTGTTCATTTTGTGAAAATGCCTTTTTTTTTCTTTCAATTTTTCTTAGACAGCACCACCTTTTTGGCAAAGCCCTTTTACAAAACAAACTGTGTACGTGATGTAGGGGCATGTAGAGGAAGTGGAAGGGCCACCGTGCGGCGCAAACGTCCAAAAAAAAAAACATACTTGTAATATGACCAACAGCGAGGTTTACACTAGACACTCGAATTATCTCTCCCCAATTGTTTCTCTAAATGCTTCAATGATGCCAGCAAGCAATACCAAAATTGGCCGCAAGCTGCAGTACTACTTGCAGAGCAACACGAATTTGCGGAAACTGCATCCGTAGCCTTCGCTACACTGTTTCATGGCAGAAGACTCCTTGCTTTGAAGCAGCACTATAGAAAAACCCCTCATAGTATCTGCACCCCTACTAGGCCGCTGAAATTTTCGGGTTTTTAGTGTGGGTTATACGCGTAAAAATATTTGCGGAAACTGCCTCCGTAGCCTTCGCTACACTGTTAAGAGGCTTCATGGCACAAGACTCCTTGCTTCGAAGCAGCACTATAGAAAAACCCCGCATATTATCTGCACCCCTACTTGGCATGCTGAAATTTTTGAGTTTTTAGTGTGGGTTATACGTGCGAAAATAGGGTAATAAGACGTTCAGAAGTAAATGATCTTGTCAGTAACAAATGAAACAGTAATAATGAAAGACATGCTCACTGGTCACTCCACGCCCCTCTCCACTCGGTGTCATCTCCCCAGGGATTCCTCAGCCGAATCAGGGGCATGCGGCCTCTCAGCCGCTCAATGTACACCTGCACATTGCATGGAAATTCGGGAATGTACACATGGCAACAGTCAACTTTCGAGTAGCACCATATTTTTCGGCCTTAGCAACAAACATGTCCTTAAACAAGGACTGATTACAAGGTGATCAGTATGAACTAGTGATCATGCTGGTACCTTCACATTTTCACTTAAGCACATACACCTAAAATAGAAAAAAGAATCATGCTAACACAGTGCTATGTTGTGTCATCCTTTTCCGTCTCTGTTTCAGTGTGCTACGAAAAAGGAACATGGATTACAAATATGCCTAAGTGTGCACACTTAAATGTTAAACTGCAAAGTGCATAATACATAAAAAAGTGTTGTGCTACGAACTATAATATAAATAAAGGTTCGTTATGAAGCAAAAAAAATGTTTTAAAGATGACGTATATATACAGATAAGATGTGTCAAACAGTTTGAGTATAGTGGCCTAAACCATTGTGGTATTCCCAAATAAATAGCAGTCGATGTCAGCATACATTTAAGAGACCCACACATTGGGTCCATCTTTTCAGGTGATTTAGCAAGTATACGAAAACTTGCCCCAGAACTTTTGCATTTAGAGACATAGTGGCACACATGACTCTTGTCTAGGAACCAAATTGGCTTGATTTCTGATTAAAATATGATGCCTTAAAAACTCCTGTGTAGGCAATCCCTTTCTCAAAACTCATTCACAAAAAAAAAAAAAAAGATTTCTCATGCACAAAAAAAAAAGGCGAGCTGATTTTGGACGCGAAACTTTTGTGCGGATTAGTAAAACTTTTGAACTGATTAAGAGCAAAAGCGAAACTTTTGTACTGATTAAGAGCAAACGTGCTGCAATACTCGCTTGTATAGCGCCTGTGTGCCATTTTCAGATTCATTACGGTTCATATTGTGCATCCACAAGAAACTTTCAGCTTCGCACTTCATGTTTAATTCCGCTGAAGGAAGAGAGCAATGACGCAAATCAGCCAGATAATCACCCCAGACAGCCTCTCTTTTCTTAGGCAGAGATGATAAGTTCGGGGTACAGAACATAATGCAACAGTGAAGTGTTATTTGGTCTAGCTATTTAGCCAAATGAAGTGCCTGTGAACCCGTGTGTGTCATGATACGAGTATCGTTTATGGGTCGGCCGACTGCGACCATATAAAAAAACTTGGCCAAAAATGAGATCGTCATGCACGAAACGTAAACAGGATGCAATATTTCAAACAAGAAATCGCCTTACTGTAGTGTCGGCACGTCTGTAATTCTTGACCCGGCAAGCTTTTGTGCGCACACTGGGCTACGTACTGCTTTTCAATGTTTGTGACCGACATATACGGGAACAGCTTACCGGCGCCTCTCGCACCAAGAGATGTAGGCGATGCCGTTCTTGTCTAGAATTCTAGCCTTGCATTGCTGCACGCAACAGCATAGTGCCGAAGAAAAGCAGCAAAGGTGTGGCGCCAACCATTTTCAGAGAAGTGGTCGCGTGATTTGAAAACCACAGCTTTCGACTGCAAGCGATACGAACTAAACTCACAACTATAAAGACCAACGCTCACTGTAGGCGTCTAATACATTGCACCATCTTTGAAGTGCAACAGCTGCATAAAAATGCGCTTTCAGAGCTCCAGCTGGCTCTCGGCAACAAGGTCATATGAGTAGTGATGCAGATGACACGAGATTATGACGGCGGGATCACACTGTAGAAGCATGTGGCTTCTGCCACACTTTTCGCTCTGCAGCTCTGATTGCAAGCTTTCCTTTCTCCATGCAGCCTGCTTTTCTAGCTGCTACATCGCAACAAATGCAAGACAAACAGTAGGCGCAAAACCTTATTTAAAAGATCAGCACTAGTATCTCCAGTGTGACCCAAATACAGCACATGCAAAGCATTTTGAGGCCCCAACTAATTGCCATTCCTATTACTAAAATCTTCTACTATATCTAGCACTACAATGCTTTTGAGTATCTTTTAAATAATCATTCTTTGATCTTTCATTTGAAAATGTTGCACTAATTTTGAATGCAGCACCAATTGTGTAATCAGTAGAGGTGTGCGAATATTCGAAAGCTTTGAATATTCGGCGAATATTGCATTTGTAATATTTGTATTTGATTCAATAACCAGATATTCGAAAATTTCAAATATTCAAACTAACTTGAATGTTCCTCGAATATTCTATGTTCACGAATATTTGTTCATAAGCTTGTGCGATTATTCAAATGCTTCGATTATTCAAACGAATATTAGGGTATCCAAATTCGCTTCGGTTCAAATTTAAATTGTTGAAAATTTTGAAGTATTCGCAAGGAACGAATAAATGCATATTAATCCGTATGTAATGCTTGTAAAGGTGGTTTCACTGCAGTGTAGAAGTGCTGAACCATGAAAGCACCCATGAAAAAAATATATATATATTCGTTTTGCCGCGATGTCATCCTTCAAATTTAAAGAGGGCCTGCAACACTTTTTGAGCATTATCAGAAAACGATGCCGCTCAGAAGTCGAGGCTACTGAGGACACGCCAGTCAAATATTATAGCACAGCACGCGGCGTGCGATTCACAATAAATTCTCAGTCAGCTAAAAATTGCTCTCTTCTCTCGGTAAATGACTCCACAGGCTCAGAAAGCACGTGTGACATATTTTCTTTTCTTGTGCCATCCCTCTCTGTTTGATTTCATCAAGGCAGGTATCAAGGCAGGAATCAAAGCTTTTCTTTCTTTTTTTTTGTAATAAAGTACAACCACATTAAAAAAAATACAAAAGATTTGTTAATCATGTGAATTGACCCCAACATCACAGTCACAAGCTCACCTATTACTCTTATGCTTTCTGGAAAGTACAGATAGTGACACTTTTTTTTAAATTTTTGTGTGCAATCACTGACTATAATAATTATTGTACTGTTTCAAACCTAAATATATGATTGAGTAAAAGGTTACTGGAGGAAAAAAATTTCACCTTTTCATTATTTGATATTCGATTCGTATTCGAAAATCTTGATATTCACACACCCCTAGTAATCAGGCTTACCAGCCGCACAGCAGTGATACTGTAGGCATGGCCAGCGACCAGGCCACTGGGCAGTTTCTCTTCGGGAATTGAGCCCACCTGGTAGATAGAACAGAACATTTTTGAACGATGCCTCAGTCCTCACACAGCTAATTGAAGTAATTAACACACGAATGGTTATGCATGCAATAGTAACCAGTTTGAAGGAAGGCAAGCTGTGAAAACAGAGACAGATTGTATATATAGTAGTTGAATTAGCAAAGTGTCATCACAGAAATGTGGCTATTGCATTTTGTGGCACGCATGAAGGCCTCACTAGCTATTGGTGGAGTTTGGGGAAATGTCAAGGAAAAGTAAACTTGTGATAACTCAAACTAGCATAGTTAAAGAGAGAATTTTTTAATCTCTAGTTCAAGCACTTCTTTCATCCAATTCAAACATCTATCACCACCAAATAAATTATTTGGCATCCTAGTGAGAAGCAGCACGATGAATAGAGGCCAAGGAGAGGGCACTTGTTAGATGAAGAAGGCTAGCCTAAGATGTCCAGTACACACGAATTGAAACAGGACAATTTTGGCAAAGTAATGCACATACTTTTGTTTTCAATGCATTCAGCTCCAGTCATATTGGTAATTTTTATTCAAACGCATAGATCACAGCCAATCGCCAGTAAAATTATTTCAATAAATTAAAGCTATTTCATACTGTTAAAGTTATTTCAATTACAAAGTTATTTAGATCAGTCAATCAGAGTCAACATTATCTTTAGAGACCCCATTCATTGTGGTTATCATGAGCAATTGAATGCAGAAGCTTCTAATGAGACATGCTTCCTTGCAATGTACTGAAAATGTGAACCAGTGTGCCATTGTACTGCCCTAGCGTCTACCTTTTATAATCATAAAAGCTTCCTTATATAAGTGTGCATCACGATATATTATAAAAAATACTATGTGCCAGTGAAATTTTAACCAAGTTCGCTACAACTTGAGTATGCCATCTGCGCTATCAACATGCAAATGAGGAGGACATAGAGAGAAGTTGTTAGGAGTGCATATCTTTTATGAAAAAGGGCAAGAAAAGGCAGTCAAGGTGCTCCCACATCATAATTCTTCAGTTATACCAGTTGCAAAACTCCTGTTCAGAAACCCTTACATGCCCCTATACCTAGATGTAAACAGAAGCAAACTGATGTACAACCTGGGTACGATAACAAAAAAAAACCATATGCTGGAGCCTACACTTGCATTGTGCGAGTCATCAAGACGAGTGTTACGTGAAATGCAAACTACGAAATTTGAATTACATGTAAGCTACATGTAATGTAGACTACAATATATTTATGTTAACAATTTTAAATAATTAGTTAATTTTGTCACCTACAGATGGCTTCACAATCAGCAGACCTCCAGTGTTTAGGCCAATAGTTGGTTTGTGAATTTTGGCACATGGAGCACCGCATATGGAGTTTTGAAACGTGTATGATTGAAGAACCCTGGCTGTACCTTACATTATATAGCTAGCTGTGAAGCAGGAGAGTTAGAAAGTAGACTGACTTCGCTACTATCGTTTTTTGCTTTGCACAATAAAGTTACAGCACAGAGGATGGTAATGACAACAACAGTAAGAAAATGCTGCGCATCTTTTGAGTACATTGTATGCAAAAGAGTGATCTTATGAGTACAAATGCAATGAGTGACACTCACCCTGTTGTTGCACAGATGACATGCTTTAAAATGGGCTAGCAACGTTACTATGATCTCCAACAAGCCGCGTTTTACCTGTGCATGTAACACCAACAGCAAGTGGAACAAATGTACTATGTAGTCTCATATTGCTGTGCTGAGTAAAATATAAAAAATAAATAAATGCAAGCCTGTGAACGGCAGCTTGCGCAGTGCGGATGAAGCCTTCAAGCCAAACGCAGGCAACACAAGTGAGTGTGCACAGAGATGGGCAGCATTTTCTGTTGTTTTCAACAAACAAACAAAAAAATACAGGAAAGAAAACACAATGTGTGAAAGAAGAAAGGCACAATGAAATGTGAGGTTTTGAGCAAACTGAATTTCAGGGATGGGAAGACAAATCGACATGTTATAGTATTGTACTCAAAGAACTGCTCAGGCTTTCTAAGTACTAACCTCTGCCATTAGCACAAAGTACTATACACCTAAACAACAGTTACTGCCGATGTTGACTTTAGCATGAGTTGTGTGTTAAGTAAATTTATTATAGATAGTTTAGAAGGGGCAACATTTCGGCTTACACTATTCCACTACGACTTGGTCATTGAGCTATCTTCCATTTTTCAACAACAGATTAGTGGGCACACAATGGCAGTTAGTGTAGCATCATTTGTTCTTTAAAAGAGACTTGTTCCAATTTAAGCTCACCACCTCAGACTGACACAGGTGCTCCTAATGTTAGGCCATCGCAGAGGATGGCAATGATTGACGCACATATTGACAGTAACTTGCATGCAGCGACTGACAAATTAAGTAACTTCAAAAGTGCAGCTGTTTAAAGGTGAACTGTGCCATAATTAACCATAATAAATTAGCAATAATATATATATATATATATATATATATATATATATATATATATATATATATATATATATATATATATATATATATATATATATATATATACATACATACATTCATATACACCTACTGAAGAAAACCTTGCAATGTATTGGTTGTAGAATTTTTTAACAGTCTTTAAATAGCACTTAAACTATGTACGCGAGATTGTTGTGAACAGGTATAATACTAGATTTCAGAACACTGGCTACAAAATTTTCAGAGGATTCTGGGTGCCACCAAATCTTAGCTATCATGCCAAGGAAGCAAACTTCATTTTCTAATATTTGTTGGTTTTTAACATCCCAAAACCATCATATAATTATGAGAGACGCCGTAGTGGAGGGCTCTGGAAATTTCGACCGGAGCCCTTTTTTTAACGTGCACCGAAGTCTGAGCACACGGGCCTACAGCATTTTCGCCTCCGTCGAAAATGCAGCCTATGCGGCCGGGATTCGATTCCGCAACCTGAGGGTCAGCAGCCCGAGTGCCTTAGCCACTAGACCACAGTGGCGAGTAACCTCCATGTTCTGTCATCTGCGTCACTTATGCGACCAATGCTAATGGCAGCATTTTTTTTTTTCAGACTTAGGTGTCAATAACGTCTCTTCTTGCTAGTTTTTGCGACTCCTAAACTCTCGTTTTTGGAGCACGAGTATTCGCACAAAGGCTGTTCTTTCTCTATCTGAAAGCAGCCTCTTTACGCAGAGCAAAACTTTCATTGCAGTTGGCATTTCAGAGGCAGTAATCGTCCATGGCCCTGCTGTTAACTTGAAAAAAAAAAAAAATGGCACAGGCTTTACGGACAGTGCAAAGTAACCACAAGCAAAGAAGCCATTCTCTCATTGACAGAAAAAAGCCAAACAAGGATGAATTCATGGCGGTAGATGCACAAAAATTTACAAAGGCAGTATGCGCAATATACAGCAACATCACGAAGCAATGGCAATAGTATTAAATGAAAGCCACACCTTGCTACAGGTCAATGAAAGGAAAGCTTAAATAGAAAGTGAAATGAATATCAAAGCCTTTTTTTTCTTAATAACTGCAACAGCTGTCCAAATCGACATGCCAAGATTAGCTGCAAGTATGCTATTTTACAGGTTTTCAATTGCAATTACTGTTGGCCAGCTTCAGCACGCAATACACTTATTGTAGAAAACTATCCTACCTACTTCGTTTGCTGTTAATAAAGAAATTTCTCACTAATCCAGTTCATCAATTATTGCAGTAAGGATACTAGGAATAGAAAGACAGGCAAAAGGAGCTAGCCCTTGCATGTGCCTACAGACCTGCTCACGCCTAGTGCAGGCATAACAATAAATGCTTTTCATCTCAGCATCTGAACTCCAATCCACACACAAGAAAAAATTGCATCTTCATGAGTAGCTTTACTGTATAAATATTTGTCTATTTTATATCGAAACAACACCTAATGCTCAGCCAATGCCAAGGCTGGCAGGCATTTCACAATGCATGGCTTAAGAAATTCCTGATATCTTCTATTATATCCCCTACAATGTCCTTATCTTCATATCCTGAGAACTGTATCAAATACTGATACTATTAGCATTCTTTTTGTGATTAAAAATGAACATAGTGTAGTGAGATCAAATGCTAAAGGCTTATGCCTACTGAAACATGGTCTTGTAATGTAAGCATGGTATTATTCAACATACCGGAATTGAACAGCTCATGAGTGAAGAGCGCTCGTATGCTTTCAGCATGAGCACGAACAACTGCTTGGGTGGGTTTTTGAGGTCGATGGATTCTGTGAGGCCCCCTGTGAAATCCTCCATGGCTTCACAGGCAGAGCCTCCGCTGAGTGCCTCATAGCTGCCATGGAGCCTGTGCACGAGAATGAAGCACTGAGAATCGATTACTACCATGAGTACTATAAACTTTAATGTGGCAAGGATGCTCCTTTTTGAACACTGTCAGAAAATGTTCATATATCTGTAGGAAATACTGCCATCAATATGAGGGCCCAGACATATCATCAATGCAACAATAAGGATAGCAGCTGCAGCTGTGAAGAAGACAACATTTGCTACAGGTCAGATTAAATAGAAAGTCAGATTAAATGGAAAGTGAAATGAATATCAAAGCCTTTTTTCTTTATTATGGTACATCTTAAGCCAAAAAGTACATCTTAAGCCAAATATAACAGAGGAGTTAAAGACAGTACTCTGCTATTGAACCTGCCTTAGCTGAGAGGAAGTATGCATTGTGCTTAGGAGGAATGTAAGGTTTGTACACTTTATGTATCCTTTCATGTTAGTAGTATTCTTATATTTTAACTTAAAATCATATCACTTTTTTAAACCTATAAATTTAGTATTCACATTGAGAAAGTACCCCACTCCTGTCTCAGGTATGAAAACCAGACTGGCAGTATTGCAATAAATAACATACAGTAAAAGCTCATTAGTTCAGATTTCACAGAACAGGGAAAAAATGTCAGAATAGAATGGACTCTGAATTATTGAAACTTTAGAAAAAAAACATACACAGACTGTATGCTACATCAATACACTTTAATTTTATTGAAGAATATATAAATCATGTACTTATTTTGTATAAACAACACTGTAAAAGCAGTGATTTTCATCATCTTGCAACTTCACTTCTCAATGTGATCATGATGCCAGATTCCCACATTTGATTGAGCCAAAACAATTTCTCCACTTTTCCCTTATTATGTACCATTACCACTACCACCAAAATGCTAGTGACAATGGTTCTTTCCTAGGTTAGAAGGACCGGTAACTGAGCACTTGTACATCGCGATATAGAAATCGAGTTTAACGCCAGTATGCCAACCATGGCTGAAAGCTCTTCATCTGCGACAGCTTCTGCCATGTTTGAGTTATGTGACATTGCACGGGCATTGCATCAAGTTAAAGCAAAGCTGATGAGTGCTGGGTTCACAAGTGGAGAAAACCATGCTCACTAACTGACAAAGATATACAGCCATGCGGACAGCACTGCCTAATTTCGGCTGCCTGTAACGCTGCTTTCACTCTTTTGCGCTACACACTTGCCACCCTTTGCACTCGGCAAGCTCAACAGATCAGTCTATGAACCAGGTGCTGTCTGGGAGCATGGGAAGACATCTACATTTTTATCTACTTTTTTCAATTCACAGTGGGCCACAATGCAAGCTTTTACTGTAAACAACGATTCTTAAACATGTCCTTTAGAAAGCATTGCACTCATTGTACTATATTGTTACGTGAAGGTACACACGAAACTAGGCGTTTGAAGATATATTTACACAGAGCCAACACGCAAGCCAAGATAGAGAACAAGAGCTGTGCCCTATACCAAAATCACGTTGCCTTTCTCCGCACCTACTTAACCGCTTTTGTGGGACATTGCCTCATAACATAACCCCCGGGTGCTGAAGCACCGTCTCAATGCTTTCTATGATGTCGCCGAGTGGTAAAGCTTAAGGCGAGATACATGAACAATGTCTGTAGACAGTGAAGGGGAGGAGGAGCAAGACTCGAGCGGGGCTATACTGTAGGTCACATCTGTCACCTGGTGCAATACCCAGTAGGGTCCCGAGTAGCGGGAAAGGTGTTTCTCAGAAAGTCCAACGCGCCTAGTCAGAGTCCACAATAGTACAAGAGAACCCAGGAGTAAAGGAAACTTGGCGATGATGGGAGTTGTAATGCTGCCGCTGCTGATCTTGCGATGCTAAGAGGCGCTGATGGGCAACTTCTCGTGCTTTTCGAGCTCTGGTGATAGCATGGCGGGCGTATTCGGTCGTCGAGTCGACGGCTGTCGGAAAGATGGTATCAAACGGTAAAGTTGCATCACGGCCAAACACATGATAGAAAAGTGAAAAACCAGCTGTATCGTGGTGTGAGGAATTATAGGCGAACGTAACGAAGGGCAATGCAACGTCCCAGTCCTGGTGGTCGGACGATACGTACATGGCGAGCATATCGGTCAAAGCCCGGATGAATCGCTCAATCAGTCCATTAGTTTGCGAGTGGTTGGCTGTCGTAAATTTATGTTTTGTCTCGCAGGAGCGAAAAGGTCGTCGATAACTCGGGAAAGGAAATAGCGCCCCCAATCTGTGAGGAGTTGGCGTGGTGCGCCATGATGAAGTATGACGTCGTGCAGGAGAAAATCGGCAATGTCTGTGGCACATCTGGTTGGTAGAGCCCGTGCAATGACGTACCAGGTTGTGTGATCCGTTACAACAGTTATCCGCTTATTCTCAGAAGTGGACGCAGGGAAAGGGCCTAGGAGGTCATGACCAAGTCGAAAGAACGGATCAAAGGGAATGTAAAACAGTTGGAGGAACACAGTAGGGCTCACCGAAGGTTTTTTTCGGCTTTGACACTGGTCGCATGAGGCAACGTAGCTGCGAACTGAGCGATAAAGACTGGACCAGTAAAATCGACGCTGTACACGGTCATACGTCCAAGGTGACCGGCAGTGGGAGTGTCGTGAAGCTGGCTGATCACGCTCGCACGTAAGTGGGAAGGTACCACAAGGAGCAGTTCGTGTCCATCAGGGCGGACGTTGTAATGGTACAATGTGCCATCCTTGAGCACGAACAATTGAGTAGACGGATCGGGTGCCACAGAACGAAACTTCTTGATGATGTTACATAAGACAGGATCTCGGCGCTGTTCCTCACAAATGTTGCTTAAAGCGGAGAGAGAAAGGACACATGGCGCTTCATTGAACGCCTCAAGTGGGTCCACTGGATTCCGAGATAAGCAGTCAGCATCATGGTGTAAGCGGCCAGATTTGTAGGACACCAAGTAGTTATACCCTTGGAGTCGTAATGCCCATCGACCAAGCCGCCCAGTGAGGTCCTTAAAGGATGCAAGCCAGCAAAGGGCATGATGATCGGTTGTGACGGTGAAATGTCGACAGTGTAAATAGATAGGGCCGAAATTTCGCTACTGCCCAAACGAGAGCAAGGCATTCCCTTTCGGTGATTGAGTAGTTCCTTTCTGCCTGCGAGAGGAGACGGCTAGCATAAGCGATAACGCGGGCACAGCCGCTTTGATGCTGGACCAAAACAGCACCAATTTCGTGGCCACCGGCATCGGTGCGGACTTCTGTAGGGGCGGCATTGTCAAAATGGGCCAGAACAGGTGGTTCTGTTAGCAATGCAATAAGTGTAAAGAACGCTGCAGCCTGCGCAGCACCCCATGTGAATGAGACATCTTTTCTCAGTAAGTTTGTGAGAGGACGGGCTACTTCCGCATAGTTGCTCACAAAACTTCGAAAGGACGAGCACAGACCGAGAAAGCTGAGGACTTCCTTGGTGCAGGTCGGAATGGGGAAGTTCCGCGCGGCTCGCACTTTATCGGAATCAGGGCATACACCAGAGGAATCGACAAGGTGGCCCAACATGGTTAGTTGCTGGCGTACGAAGTGGCACTTTGACGAGTTCAGTTGGAGACCGGCATTGCGAAAAACAGCCAGTATTGAGGATAGGCAGTCGAGGTGGGTCTCAAAGGTCGGAGAAAAGACGATAACGTCGTCAAGGTAACATAGACAAATTGACCATTTGAACACACACAAAAGAAAGTCTATCATCCGCTCGAAGGTGGCGGGAGCGTTGCATAACCCGAAGGGCATGACCTTAAACTGGTAAAGACCATCGGGCGTGACAAAAGCGGTCTTTTCGTGGTCCATGTCATCGACAGATATTTGCCAGTACTTTGATCTTAGATCAATGGATGAAAAATAGTTAGCGACGTGAAGACAATCCAGGGCGTCGTCTATGCGCGGTAGCGGGTAGGCGTTTTTTTCTTTAGTAATCTTCTTCAGATGTTGGTAGTCAACACAGAATCGCCAAGTGTTGTCCTTCTTTTTGACAAGAACTACAGGGGAAGCCCATGGACTACATGATGGCTCAATTATGCCTCTGGTGAGCATTTTGTCGACTTCTGCTTGAACTATGTGACGCTCAGTTGGAGATACGCGGCATGGCCGTCGACGGACAGGGGAGGTATCGCCGGTGTCAATGCGGTGCTTTACAGCAGTGGTTTGACCTAGCGGAACAAAAATCAAATACGTCCCAGTATGACTCAAAGACGTGAAGGAGTGTGTCAGCTCGATGTGGCAAAAAGTCTGACGCAATCATTTTTTTAATGTCAGCAGACGGGCTTGCTTGCGAAGATCGAGCATGCGTGTAGCTACAGTGTTCAGCATCATTTGAAGACAGAGCTGAGATAACGCATTCGTCAGAGGGAGTCAGCATGGCGAGGGCAATTCCACGCGGGAGCACTTGTGGACACAGAGCAAAGTTGAGCACAGGAATGAAGGCGCAGTTTGCCTGTAACTGAATAACAGCGTGTAGTAAGGTAACACTGTGAGTCAAAAGAATGGATGTAATGGGCGCGAGCACATAGTCGCCATCGGATACAGGTGGTGAGGGCATTACGGTGATGCAGGTCACAGTTTGCGGGGACAAACGGACATGCTCAGCAGAGCACATACGAGCTTGGGAGGACTGGACAGATCAATCGGACACGGTAGGTCAAGTTGCACAGTACCAGCTGAACAGTCGATGAGCGCGAAATGAGTGGACAAAAAGTCACGACCGAGGATCACATCATTGGTGCAGTGAGAGACAACAGTGAAGAGAACTGAAGTTTGTTGGCCGGCTATAGTGACGAGTGCAGTACAGACGCCAATAACGGAAACCGTACCTCCATTAGCAACACGAACACTGCATGAAGGGGCTGGAGTAAGGACTTTCTTTAAGTGGTCACGAATGTGCAAGCTCATCACAGAAATATGGGCGCCAGTGTCTACCAAGGCTTTAACAAATAAACCGCCCACTTCAACGTCGATCAGGTTCTGATTGGTCGGCAGCGTCAACAGAGGAATCGGAGAGCAAGTCGTATCAGCAGCGTCACCTCCAGGAGCTGCAGCCGTTAGTTTTCCGAAGAAAACCGCCGGGCAGAGAATGGGGACGGGAAACGGGGCGACGGCGAAGAATGCGAAAATCTATGTCGAGGTGAAGGTGAGCGACTGTACTCGGCAGTGGTCGTAGTGGTCACGTGGTAATTAGCTGAGCTATCATGCCGTGGTAGTTCCTGGCCATAGAGATGGGATGGTGAGTGGAGGTTGGAGAAGCTTGAGTTTGCCCGGTACGGTGAGGTCCACGTGCTTCGGCAATGGCGGGAAATGTGTCCCACTCGTTCACATAGAAAGCAAATCGGCCTGTCGTCAGGACTCCTCCGCGCATTTGGGTCATGATTACGAGGAGCAGGCCGGCAATAATGCTGTGGGTGGCTGGAGGTAGATAAACTGACAGCATTGGGACGGTGCACAGAACAGACCGTGTGAATACCCACGTTGGCTAGTTCTTGGCGAACAACAGTTTGTATTAGCGATATGGTCGGCTGAGGATCACTCGGTGCTAGTGCTCTCAAGGGTGCAGGTGATATGGCCTCGATTTTGCGGCGTACGATTCTCGTGATGTCACCAGAGTGTGAATTGAGCTGGGTCGCTATACGAAGATCCTCGTAAGTTGACGTCGCAGCAGTGTTGAGAAGGCGAGTAAAATTGTGGACAATGCGACGGCTTTCAGCCTCTTGAAAGCGTTGGCACTCTAAGATAACATCTTGCCAATGGCACAGCCTTTGCACACAAGGAAATTAAATGCATCGTCTGCGATGCCCTTGAGGACGTGCGCTATCTTGTCTGCTTCAGCCATGGTTCGGTCAATTTTACGGCAAAGGGTCAGCACATCTTGTATATATGCCAGGTAAGATTCTGTGAACGTCTGAACACGTGTGCCAAGTTCTTTCCTAGCGGCCTGCTTGCAGCCAGCAGATTGACCAAACAACTCGCGTAACTTGGTCTTGCATACGTTCCAGCTCGTGATCACGTCCACAATATTATTAAACCATGCCTTGGCCGTTCCTTGCAAATAAAAGATGATATTTGCCAGCATCAAGGTTTGGTCCCACCTGTGGTTTTCGCTGACGAGCTCGTAGAGTTTAAGCCACTCATTCATGTCCTCGCCTTCCGTTCCCGAAAGTTGCCGGGATCGCAGGGTGGAGCGGCCCCAAGAAAAACAGGGGAGGTCGGCGCCGTTGATGCATTGGGCGCGGCAGTTGACAAAGCGTCACTGCCGGTGCACATGTCGAAAGCAGCAACTAGGCGTCCACTGCGTAACTCCGTCGTGCGTTGTAACCCAGCACCTTCCACCAAAATGTTACTGAAGGTACACGCGAAACTAGGCATTTGAAGATATATTTACACAGCGCCAACGCGCAAGCCAAGATGAAGAACAAGAGCTGTGCCCTACACCAAAACCACGTCGTATTTCTCCGTGACTATCTAACGCTTTTGTGGGACATTGTCTCATAACAATATTGATACGCCACAGTGTACTAGCACTTTTTGCACGAGAACGAGTAAAAATGAAAATTGTAAATTGTGAAAGGCACAGCTCACTTGGCATAGGCCTTCTCCAAGAGGGCGCTCCAAAATTCATTGCCCGAGCGCGACTTCATGAAAATGAGGCTTCCATCGAGTGTGGGCAGCCGGTCGTCGATTACGACGTCAATCCATCGGTTGGCCTTCCAAATTCGGAAGTGGAAGATGCCCGCATAATCTTCATGAAATGACTGGTCATCAGGAACCACACGGTAGAACAGCTCGTCATTCAATGTCAGGTTGGCTGCAGACGCCACCATCCAGCAGTTCCCTACAAAAAAAAAAAGTATTTAATTCAAGTTCTAGAAGATCAAACGTTCTAGAGCATCAAACGAGGATCAAACGTCAAAAGGCCCTTGCTATGAATGAATGAAAAAAAGGAAACCTAAAGGGCTCGTGTTTTTTTGTTATACATGTTATAGACCCCTTCAAAGGGACACTAAAGGCAACTGTTAAGTCGCCGTTGATTATTTAAATAGTGGTCCATAAACCTCATAGTGTTACTTTTGTGCCAAAAAAGGGCCTATTTTCAAACAAAGTCACGTTTTAGTGGTCTGCATCAGGTTAGCGCACTTCAAATTACCCACTTCGAGAAGCAGACCAATCAGATTGACTCACATCACTGTTGCCGTGAACAACGTTGCCCGGCTTTACTGCGCTAGTAGCAGCAAACCGAAAGCAGCGGGAGTCACAGTAGCAATAACGACATTGACCCATTTCCCGCCATTAACTCAGAGATTGCAGATGTTTTTTTTTTAGTTCAACTGCGCCACGCTAAATGGCACCACATGTCCAATGTAACTATGCGAAAATTGAATTTTTGAACCACTCGCGCCATTTCCCATTGTAATGGCTGGCGGTTCTTTTTTCCCTAAATCAAACATAAATGAACAAGCAGCATTTTATTGTGTCTCTTGATTCATGGAAGGTTCTTTATTTAGTGCAGCTATATAGATTACTCGTGATTAATTGTAGGCGGTCCGTCTGATGTCATCGCGATCATTTTGAGAATGTCCTATTGCGGCGCATGTGTTCTTGTGCATTTACCTTATTTCTTGGTAAGTAGGGCACTGTTGTTGATAATATTGTGGTTTTAGACTGTTGTCATACATTGAGCTTTCACTCCGACATAAATTGTTATTTGGCTTTAGTGTCTCTTTAATGAGAACTAACAGACAGCCGAGCCTAAGAGAAGTATAGGGAATACTATGTGTAGCGATTGTGACATAAGTAAGATTAATTTATAATGGACGAAATGGTAACTAGTCACCAGAAAGGACTGAACTTACAACCTTTTAAGAACACGTCTGATGTTATTATTTGAGCTACAGAAGCACTCACCCTCCCATCTACTTTATCGACTATATACGTGCATTTAAACTGGTAGTGTTGATCAGTGTCGCTTGTATCCATGACTACAAGCGTGGAGCACTCTTTCTTTTTACCTAGTGGCTTCATGCAGCATGTGGCACCAGTAAAAACTTTATGGGCTCGTTTTTCTGAGTTAGACACAATTTTAATGAGAATTGACAGACAATGGTACCTGACAAAAGCACAGGGGATGTTGTTAGTAGTACAGTCGAAACCCGCAATAACGAAATCGCCAGGGAAACCGAAAAATTTCCTTTTCGGGAGAATTTAGTTGCCGCGAGTATGAGATGTAAAAACAGTGATACGGCCAGCAGAACGAAAAAAGTGACGAAAAGGCGGAAGCGAAGCAGAATGGGATTGTGTCGCCCCCTAATGGTGTCGCTGCAAGGCTGCTTAACATGATGATGATATTGTTGCCGTTCTCTTCTTTTTCCGCAATCAACAAAGAATCCACTTCCAGCGTCAAGCTTTTCTCAGGCGCCATTGTAACTTCATCTCGATTTCGCCACCAGTTCCAGTCTTCAGTTCATTGTTTTGATAGATTCCAACTGTTGGTGTTGCTTCGGCCTGTTGAGCTTGTCCCACGGCGCCATCTGCACTCTAGCATTATCATTTGCCATCGCCTGCTGCAGTGTGGCCAGGCATGTTGTCGGACACAGGCCCCATCGCTGATTTAAGTGAACAAAAATGGCGGTACCGACGCTAGCACAGCAAAAGCAGACGTTTACAAATTTTGAATGTGCATAACACACATACGAGCATATTTTCGACAGTTAACCTTTGACGGGATGGTAAAATAAGGCCTGCATCGTGGTAGAAAATTCGTTAATGCGGGATCGTTGTCCAAAAACATTTCGTTGCCGCGAGATACGTAATACATGGGCTTCTATGAACGGTCGCCGGGGATCCGTAAATATTTCGCACTCACGGGGTTTGGTTATTGGGGGTTTCGACTGTAATTGTAAAGTAGATGCGAAGAAAGGAAAGTGGACAAACAAGATAACTCGCCCCTGGCAAGGACCGAACCTGCAACCTTTGAATAGCACATCAGATACTCCATCAACTGAGCTACAGCGGTGGCCGTTTCCCCTGTCTACTTAATGGGGTATATACTCGGCGACAACTTGTCTCGGCACTGAAGGAAAGCTATGGAGGCGAAGCTTCTGCACAGGTAGCACTACGCGAAGTAGTGTGTTTTGCCGTGCATTTCATAACATTGTGGAAAGCGACGGAGGCGTACCATCAGCGTTTCATGTAGACGCAGACACTGCTCAGCGTTTGAGGTGCACATAAAAAGGCAGAAATTTCTCACGCGTTCAGAAACGCGAAGTCTCAACAGTTAAAATAATTATGAATATCTTACAGGTGTGAGCTGTGTCCTGTCTCAATTAACTCCATGTAGAAAATAAAGGAGGAGAATTTATATTTCCCGCTGAAAATACGGGGCGCTACTTTGGAACTACATTCACTGGCGGTAGCATGCACGCGATTTGGCTGCGTAGCTTTCTCTTCGGTGCTAAGAAAAGTTGTCGCTGAGTATAGTATATGTGCATTTAAACCCAGCGGTGTTCGGTCAGTGCCGCTAGTAGCCATGACGGCGAGTGTGGAACACTTTTTTTCTGCCTGTTGGCACCACGTAGCATGTCATCTTAAAACGAGCTGGTAGCTGACCAATAATCAGTTTCCAGCTGCCACATAGTGAACCCATTAGGATTTCGAACCAACAGGAACTTATAAGTGCCCAGTTTAATACAGTCACAAGATGCATTCCTTAACAATACGCCCACAAATATTGCCCACATTTTGTTTTATCCTTACTTGATAAGCGAAGGCAGTAGCTAGCTATGCTTCATTACTAGTTTTAAATATTAGCGTGCCACTGTGCATTATATTTAAAACTATCAGCTATAACATTGAGGAATGCTTCATACCAACACTTCCTTGGACAACATCAAATCTTGATGCTCCATCCACAAACAGCTTTGGATTATTACACATTTCCTGTAAAGAAGAAAAGGAAAGATCAAGATTGGGAAAAACATATGGCAGCTCCACTAATGTGAAATCCGAGAAGCTGTGCAGCATGGGAGCTCATCGATTTTAGCTCGAAGGGTTATCACCTCTCGGTTTACCAGAACGGCAATGACGCCGATGTTTGCAGTAAGTATGCAGAGTTCCCACGTCACAAGTAGAATCTTGTTAGAAAGATATTCGGTGTGCCACACCTGTGTTACCTTTTGCTGCGCTTTATCCACTTCCTGCTCGTTATGGCAGTTGAAATACGAGTGCGGTAACGACAGAATGATGGCACAGCTTTGGGGCAGGGGCATCTGCTCACTTGGCGAGGCAATGGTAACTCTGATCATAGCCAGCTGCAGGATTCTGCAGCCTTCTTAGCAAAATTCAATTAATTACTGTAATTAAATCTAGGCCGTTTTTGTTATATTATTTTAGACCTTGTTCACTCATTTTAACATAGGATTTTAAGCATTGCTTGTCTTGTATGAAGCACTTTACTCTGACCGTGATCATACTACATGGGCTGCATGGATGCACGACAAGCTTGTGCCTTAAAGTGCTCCGCAATGAAACAAAAAATAATAATAAGCATGATAAAACAAGAGTAAGCACAATAAAAGTCCTACACCTAGAGCAATCTTTAAAATTTTTCTGCTGATAAAACAAATTGTGTTTGGGCAATGCTTCAACTTTTCAATGATAATGTTTCCTCAAACCTGGAATGCTTGACATTTTTTTTTTTTTTCACTCTGTTTACTATCACAACATACTGATGCAGCTCAGGAAAGCTAACACATTGCCTTAGAATTTTCAAATTGAAAGTAATTAGTGGGCATAGTTCAATGAAGCAATTATTATTTCTTCTTCTATCATTATTTTTTTGTCACCCAAGTTCTGTTTGGTACGTTTTGCAAGCCTAGTTTGCATGATGAAAAATAGTGCTATTACTTTGTTTTTGCACAAGTCACTATATGATGGTGCTATTTCTTTTTTGTTAGTATGCTTGCTTTTCTTGTTCATTTTTATCTTCTGAGCAAGCCCTGCATGTAGAATTAAACCTCTTTATAAGAGACACTGATGTAACATACAAATGGGTATAAAAGACACCAACGTGCCTCTTTTATGATTAGGGTCAGTAGGAAAATGAGAACGTGTTATGCTGCTCATAAGAGACGGGTCATATGAAAGACAAGGATTGCTCCACTGTGCATGTCTCTTAAAAAGGGGTTCAAATATATATCCCTTTCAGCGTTGGAGGCAGCTTTTGAGTACACAACTTGTTTACACTAGTTGTGTCAACTTGTGGTCACAAGAGGCCAAGATACATTTGTCAATGGTTGAACTGAACATTCTCCAAAGTATTGATTTAATGTCAATGTGCTCAAAATCACTGTAACCGACCACCTTGGTGAAGGCATTACAATGTTGTACAAGTAGTTCAATGTGCTGTATTTAAGAATGAATGTCAAAATTTTTATTTCTTTACTTGAAATAAATAGAGCCAATCGTGCACACATTTGAGGCCTACGTTTTCTTTCTTATTATATAAAAACAAAATGCGACTGATGTGAAAATAATCAAATATTTAATTACATGCACATTACAGTTTATTATTGAAATTCACAACAAACAACAAGTTGCTTCATTTTGTTTGTTGGAATTCGATATTCAGTGCCTTGTGTGTAATTATGATGTGCGAATGTAATTGGCATCTGAAGGGGATATAATATGTGTGTGTGTGGCTACATGCTGGTGTGAATTGTCTTTTGCAACGAAGTGCGTCTTAGTCAGCCCTGGGTTTGTAGACCTGAATGACCTTGTCCTTCACGCTGTTTCTGGAGTAACTAAGGGTAACCCACAAGCCACCCTTATTCTGTAATATGCCTTACTGGCGGCCGGAGCCAGACGACTGGAAACTTGGGGTCCTTGTTGCCCCAGACAGAGCTGCCCTTGCAGGGAAACTCGGGATCCTCGAAGAGCACCCCATTGGCGAGGCACTCCTTGCGTAGCTGGTGGAAGTCCTGGATGCGCCCACTGCGGTTTTTCAGGCCAGCACCACGCTCACCCAGCTGCAAGAGCGAAGATAGGTTGTACTAAAAGAGCACTAAAGAAAAAAACGATGTTTGATGTGTAAGACTGGTATTAGAGTATGTATGGGGTCCATTATAAGCCAGTCTCACATTTTCAATAGCAAGCATTAAAGACAAAGGGGCCAGGTATCTGGGCAGGTACTGTAGGACAGATGGTGCCAGAGCGATGAAACGACAGTTGAATTGGGAACTGTTAATTGTCTTCAAGTCAACGAAAGTTAAGGCTGAAAATTTTTTTTCAGATCTTTTACAACAATTGGATTGGCATTAGAAAGAAAACTTACTTTTTATCTTTCTAAATATAATAATCAGAAATTCTTGAATACTGGCCCAGGGCATGCATGTTTGCTAGTTTCTTTTTTTTTTGAAGTGTGTGTAGAATATAGTGGGCTGTCTGCAAAACAGGTATGACATCAAAATAAAGAAATATTTGCATCTATGTTGCGACCCACCCTGCAGTTAAACTAACAACCAATGTGGGGTCATTCTTGAATAAAGAACGAAAGAACAAAGAACATTACTTCTCACAACATGAAAGACATTGTGCAAGCTGCGAGAAGGCCTTTGATATGCAATATTAACATGAAAAAAGTAAGTGCCGGTAGCAATGCACCTTGAAGTTTCCCCACCAGTAACCATGACGTCACTGATTTTTAAGTAATCTACTAGAGCCTATGTACTTTCTAGTCATTAAAAATGAAGTATACCCTTTGGAGGGAGCCAGCTAGAGATTCAGCACATTATAGTTCAGGAAATTTTATTGAGGCAATAATGTGGCCAAATTGTGAAAAAAAAAAGCACTTTGAAATCTATGACATCACTATCACAAATTTTGATGAGGATTCTGAAAGTGAAGCTATTGCCAGTGATTTTTTTCATCTATATATAAACATATGGTGGTCAAATCAACTACTTAGAGCTTTCATAGTACAATTTATCAGCCAAAACTTATTTGCTCTTTCACTTTAGAGTTCCTGTAAGTCTTTAATAAGCAAAGATGCAGCCATATAATCACGCTGGCTTACAATGTAATTGCATTGTCATTAAGTGCCATGAGGTTCTCATTAATATTACATCCAACAAAGAAAAACGAGCCCTTACATTTCCATTTCTTATTCTTCATTAATGAGAATACATCAGGAAGACTACAGCCAACTTCGATACTCCTCATTTGAATCTGCTGATTCTGCTGCTTCTGGTCCCCAAAACTTGGCCATTCCATAATTTCTTTTGCACTGTGCTGCAATAATGTAGAATGTTCTTTCAGTCTAGATTCTCTGTAAAGCCAATGCAACTGTATATCGCCATGGTAAGCAGCAATTAAATGACATGCGAGTATGTGAATCTTCGCATGCTTAAAAGAATCATTACTGGCTACTTCATATTGTTAAATTAAGGATTATGGAATCCCAATCTTTTGCAATATAAAGGAAGTTAATGGCCAAAGTAGAGGAAGATGATTACGGAGCATACCATCAATGGAAAACAATTCACCAGGGCCACAACAAGTGTCCCGCATCTCTCACAACCAACATATATTGGTTGCATACATATAATTATGAAATATATAGATGGCTTGCACTGGCACCATTGAAACTGCCATGTTAGAGCACCAGCAAGAGGGGACAAGAAAGTTTCGAGGTCACCTTAACATTATCAAAACAATACATGCAGGTTCTTTTGGTAGTCATGCTGAAAGGTGTTCCTGTTGCATCATTATCACATTCAGGCAGGTTAACCTGGAGGTTAAACTTTACTTGTTTTTTTTATCAAAACCGTCATCTCAGAGAACCAGTACGTTTAGAAGCAGGGTCCATGCTGTCACATGCGAGGACCAAGCCACGCAGATAACCTGCAGATTAAAAAGGTAGCACTAGGAAGACAGATAATTTGTATCTTTTCAGCCACTACTATAACTTGTCAATACGGTTGATTGGGCGAGTTGGTGAACATAATTGTTTGAATTGAGAGCGCACCATGTGGAAAGGATAGACAGGCACAAGTGCTTGTCCCTGCCTATCCTGTCGACGTCTATTTAGTGCGCTCTCAATTCAAACTACTCTACCACCTGTGAGAGAGTGTGATTTGTCGCAAAAACAGCAAGAAGTTCGTGCTGAAGTGCAAGTTACAGCGGGGGTATATTTCCATGCTGTGCACCAAAAGTTGCTCGAAAAAAAAAAAAAAGAGGGTAAACACCGCCGTAACCACACGGTGCCCTCTCCCAAGCGCCTATGTTACCTCCGTTCTTAAGCAGAGCACCCAGCCGCGGAGGAGCGCTTGTACCTATTTTACCGGTAGGTGCCCGGCGGCAGACATAATCTACCTCCCACTGCTCATGCGTGATGCTCGAGTTCAGTATGCAAGGCTGTGGTGGTATAAGGCGACCCAGGTATGTACCCTTTAGAGGACCTTATGGGGCCACCTTACGAGGTGGTATTCACATGAACAACCGAGCGCCAGGTCAGTGTACCCCTCTACCCATTGAGCAAAACCAGTGGGTGTCCGGCCGGCACTGGGATTCGAACCCCGTGCCTCCCGCATCAGGGGCGGACGCTCTACCAACATGGCCACCGCTGCGGTTGCTAGAGCGATGGTTACACGGTGACTACATCGGGTTTCTTCTTCTTTTTTTTTTTTTTTTTGGCTGGGCCCAAAGCGTATGAAAACCCCTGTGCCGAGCAAACGTGAATGTTCGACCGTTTATTCCACTTTCCCAAGATTACCGAGATGCTTGTTTGAACAGCGCACGCTCGAGTCTTCAAAGCTGCGGCCAACGTTTTTCTAAAAACGTTGGCTGCGGCGGCATCTGTGGCGCCATCTGTAAGTCGCTTCCGTCACTCATCTAGATCAAGCATTGCCTCAGAAATGGGAGCCACGCTCGGAGGTTACGCTTTAAAGGAGCACTGGCATCGAATTTACTCATGTCAATACGTTTGCGTCAACGAGTAGCTATCGCCCCTAGTAGCGATTCGCGACCCGAAACGCAACTGAAGAACGAATAACAATAAATTTTATTGATTTATAGACAATTTTTTCAGCTAGTTTTTCTAAGCGAAACTAGATGGCGCCACCACACCAAAAAAACCACGGCTTTTTTTTTTTTTTTTTAGGTTATCGTCCCTAGGTAGAGTGTACTAGAAGTGTACACTGTGCCCTAGGCGCAGCCGCGATGTGGCGTGTGGCGGACGTTGCACCCCAATATACTCCAGCCTACGGCGAGAAACGGGCGGCGTGGACTATGCGCTGCACCCACTTTGCTGGCCTCCAACCCGGCAGCGGCGGTGGCAAATTCGTGGTTGCTTGGAAAAGGAAGAAGGCACTATTTTCTGCAGCCCTTGCGGGAGCACTGCTCAGCGCCTTGTGGGGGTTGGGAGGAGGGGATATGTTCTTTCAGTCTAGATTCTCTACATTTCTGAAACTAACATCTTACCGGTACCTCGGCGTCCACATAACTAACACTTTGTCCTGAAAATTACATACAGAACATATAGCGTCCAAAGCTAATAAAACACTGGGGTTACATTCGAAGAAACTTCTTTCTTGCTCCATCGTCACAAAAGTTATTACTATATACCACATACGCCCGTCCTCAAATGGAATACGCTTCATCTGTTTGGGACTCCGGTCAGGTAACATTATCACACATGTTGGAATCCGTTCAAAATCGTGCACCTCGTTTCATTTTGGCTAATTACCATCGTTCAGCTAGTGTCACTCAAATGAAGGCATCTCTAAACCTCATCCCACTAGTTACCCGCCGAAAGCGCACTCGCATTTGCCTGTTTCATAAAATATTCTATCATAATCCGAAACTCCTTTCCCGTTTAATCCAAGCTGCTCCCTTCATTTCTCTTCGCCGTAATCACCAACAAAATGCCACAGTCCCCCATTGCAACACAGTAACATATGCCCAATCATATCTCCCAAGAACTTGTAATGAATGGAATTCCCTGCCTGCATCAATAAGAAGCATCAATGAATCCATTCAATTTAAGAATTTCCTTAAAACAATGATTACCAAATTACCCCCTGTATGTTTGTTGAACAGTTTATTTGTATTGCTTTGTGCCTTCACCATGTAATAAAAATAAAATTAGTGTTATCATATGCTTCATTATGATGTGAGTTGTTAGGATTAATAATCTTTGTAACCCAATTAGTGACAACATTTTTATGCCATTTGCTTTGTATTCCTTGTTTTTTTTTTTTCATTGTTGCGCATGCCCTTCCCCTCTGAAATGTACTGTGTACCCTGAGGGTAAAATAAATAAATAAATAAATAAAGGAATATAGGAAAGGTATAACTAGATCAAAAAAAAATAAGAGAGGCAAGCGACAGAAAAAGAGGGAGATAGGAAAGTTGAGAGCCTGTTGAAGAAGTCCGAGGACAGAAAACCACACGGCGAGGGCTTCACGGCGTCAGGACGTCGCGGAGGGCAAACCAGTCGGCGAGAGCTACGCTGGCATGGGAGATCGCGAGCGGCACAACCGTTCAGCTGGAAATCCTCCCAGCAACTCCCCAGCCGGCCGTCGGCGTCGGTGAAGTGTAAAGTAGAAGGCCATTATATCACGTGTTAAACGGGGCAGCGCCCGTTCATCGCTGCGGAAAACCGTGTGTCTGGTATCGAGCACGATTCAAACCAACTTGCAATCCCGCCAATTTTAACGCAGGGAGTGCTTCAAATTCCACCCAGCCACCATACCGGTGCTGCGCTGTCGTTGATGATGAAGATGTGGTGTATTTCCCTTTATAATGAGTCGCCGCGTGTATAGCGGCTTGGCAATAAAAAAAAAAAACAGGAGTATAAAATCCCCAGCCAAGGGAAAAAAGGAAAAAAAAATGGGCCCCGTATCTGCATGTTACACTGCAAATGTCGTCGAAAGACCATAGTCTTGCGTCTTGAGAGAGTGAACAAAACGTTAGATGCAATTGATCGCCAGATGCAAATTAAGAAACTAGCGCAAAATGTAAGAACAGT